GACGCAGTTGCCGGTTGGCTGGGGTCATACGGCGGTGAAGACAGCACCAATGACATTAGTCGAGGTAAATAAATAATGAGAAGCATAAGAATACAAGATGTTTACACACATTCTACATCCTTGCAGACTTAATACAGTTCTATTTGGCATATACACTCATACAGCCTTTCTCTAATCCCTCTCCCTCTCAGGTTTATGGGCGGGCACCATCGGCGTGCGCCGCCTCCTCAAGCTCTTCGAAAAATACAACATCAAAGCCACCTGGTTCATCCCAGGGCACTCCCTGGAGACGTTCCCGGAGGAATGCGCCATGGTGCGCGATGCAGGGCACGAAATTGGGCTGCACGGGTACTCGCACGAGAACCCCTCCGACATGACACTGGAACAGCAGCGCGACGTGCTCGACAAGACCTATCGCCTGCTGACGAATTTCTGCGGCAAGCCGCCGCGCGGCACCGTTGCGCCCTGGTGGGAGACCAGCGCCGAGGGCACGGATATCCTGCTCAACTATGGCATTGAGTACGACCATTCGATGGGGCACCATGACTGCCAGATGTACTGGTTGCGCACGGGGGATACATGGACGAAGATTGACTATAACAAGAAGGCTAAGGAGTGGATGAAACCGTTGGTCAAGGGGCAGGTGACGGGGCTTGTGGAGATTCCGGGTAGTTGGTATATCGATGATCTGCCGCCGATGATGTTTATTAAGAATGCGCCGAATAGTCATGGGTGGACGAATCCGAGGGATGTTGAAGAAATTTGGAAGGTGAGTTTTTTTTTTTCTTCTTTTTTTTTTCTTCTTTTTTTTTTCTTTTTTATTTATTTATTTATTTATCTTATTATATATATTGCCTTTTGTCGTCTCCCCATTTTGGTTCTAATCAAAATGAACTTCCAAATAGGATCATTTTGACTATTTCTACCGCGAATACGACGAGTTCATATTCCCGATGACAATTCACCCTGACGTCTCCGGACGTCCGCATGTTCTCCTCATGCATGAGCGGTATGTTTATTCCATTATCATCATCACACCCCCCACGGTCTGTCTCCATGGGCCCAGAACTAAGAACATACGGTGTTTCACTGCAGCATCATCGAACACATCAACAAGCACGAAGGGGTCGAATGGGTGACATTCGAGCAAATGGCGGATGATTTCAAGCGCAAGAACGCGGTGCCGGCAGGCGCGAAGCTGCCAGCGCCGCGGGGAGCAATCTTGAAGACACCGCCGTTGAATCAGTAGCTTTTGTGAGACATCACTCCGTAGAGGGGCTCCGCTGGCCATCAGCGATGTGGTGATCCCTGAACAGAATGGCTCGGAATCGCGGGGGCCGTCTGGACTGGCCAGAGATTTACGTAGATTGCAGTTAGTTCTATTGAGACAAACAAGCTTGCGTACCATGACCCCATTGCCAACTGAAATAATTGTTCCCCGTATCACTCCACTTGCTGAAAGCGCTATACAAAACACCACATCGTAGCACTGCAACGATCATCATTATACGACGATGTCCCACTGTCCGGCCCTTTCGACCCCCGCCCCGCAACGCTCGAAGTGACGTAGTCAGCTCGCTCCTGGCTAGTTACTAACTTAAGTGAGTTAGGCGTCATCCGCCGTCAGCAACGGCCCAATCCCAATACAGGCAACCCCCACTCCTGGCCCACGTAAAACACCGGCGGTCCAGCCTTTCACCCGCAGTACGACAATACGACAATACGATACATACGATACAGTACGGCCCCAGCCAAAACCATAACCTCACCCCCACCCCCACTTTGCACCCCCGCCCCCGACAACAGGCAGTCCCAGGCCGCGGTTGTAGGGCTGGCTCCGCCCGGGGCTTTGGGCGTTGGGCTTGGGCGTTGGGCTTGGGCGTTGGGCGTTGAACCCTGCCGTTTCCCCGGCCTGGCACCTGCTGCGCCGCGGGGTGGCTCAGGGGGATCGAATCTCCTTTTCGGGGCGGGCAGATGCGGGGGACACGCCCGGAGCTGCTGAGTCCCTCAGAGTCTTCTTTTCTTGATCGTTGCGTGCTGGCTGTTTGCGCCCGGGCAAATGTGCCGCGGACGAATGGGCAGAGGGTGAGAAAGGAATAGGGATTCAAGAGCTGCTTCAAAGCATCATCCCCCGCTTTCATTCTCTCTTGTTGGTTTTCTGGAGCTTCGAGAGCTAGAGCTTGTCCAGCAGTTCCAAGGACGGAGACCGAGTGGTTTCTTTTCCCAGGTAGCTAGCCTTTTTTTTTGCTTGTGTGTTCGGGCGTTCAAGCGACCCGGCGATCGTCGTTCCTCTCTATTATAATATAAGATTGTTGCCAGGTTACCATCTCAAAGGGCGAATCACGGAGGCCCCAAATAGGTCCCTATTCAAATAGGAGCTGTTGAAGATATCCCGGGTTCCTTCACGGTCTTGATCATTCTCGTTGTCGACTGTTACTTTCTGCCTGTCCAGATTCTCCCACCATGTGTCCCATACCGGTTAAACAAATACAACCCCGCGATGAATCGTGTAAACTCAAGGTTTCTATTCTCCTCCCCTCCCCTCATTCCTTGTATTCAGAAAAGAGAAAAAAAAAAAAAAAAAAAAAAAAAAAAAAAAAGGAAAAAAAGGAAAAAAAGGGAATAGACACCTCTAACAAATCCCTCTCCCAGGTCGTAGTCGTCGGTGCCGGACTCGGTGGTCTCGGAGCAGCCATCGGTGCCCTCCTGGCCGGCCACGCCGTCACCGTCCTCGAAGCCGCACCCCAAATCGCAGAAGTAGGCGCCGGCATCCAAGTGCTCCCCAACAGCTCCCGCGTCCTGACCTCCTGGGGCCTGAGGGAAAAACTCTCCCACCATGCCACATGGCCGCGCCAATGCAACTTCCGCGGCTGGAAAGGCGAAATCATCTCCTCCATGGACTTCCATCAATCCCAGTCCCAGTTCCCCGGCACCTGGTATGGGGATTTCCACCGTGCGTCGCTACATGCCTGTCTCACGGAGCGCGTTGCGGAGCTGGGCGGCGTCATGCGGTGCAACGCGAAAGTCGTCGATGTGGTTGTGAGCGCGGACGGCGCGACCGCGACCGCAGTCATGGAGGATGGGAGCCGTGAGCAGGCGGATTTGCTGGTGGGTGCGGACGGCGTTTTTAGCCGGTTGTCCGAGATCATGTTGGGGAGGGAAAATCCGCCGAAGAAGACGGGGGATCTGGCGTATAGACTGCTCTTGTCGACGGAGGAGATGCTGAAGGACCCTGAGCTGAGGCACTTCGTAGAGGAGCCGCAGGTTAACTACTGGCTGGGGCCGGATGCGCATGCCGGTGAGTTCAACCTGGACAGTTGTCCCCTTATTTTATTTTATTTTATTTTTTATTTTTATTATTTTTTATTTTATTTTATTTTATTTTATTTTATTTTTTTTTTCAAATGTTGCTGCTGGTATGATTTGGGATTAAAAGGTTCTGTATATTAACATGTCTGGCAGTGAACTACGTCCTTCGAGGAGGTAAGCTCTTCAATATGGTTCTCCTAGTGCCAGATGATATACCCGACGATGGGGCCTCAACAGTGGAAGGCAATGTGGAAGAAATGTGTGCAGCGTTCAAGGGCTGGGATCCGAGGTACGTATACAGCCAATTATCCAGTTCAATCGAATGGATTCAGTTATCCGAATGTATGGAAAGCATATGCACCCATCTAATCTCTAGGTTGTAAATCCCTACAGAATCGAAAAGCTCCTCAAGCTCTGCAAATCCGTCTATAAATGGCGCCTGTGCTACCGCCTAGGCGAACACGACTGGACTCATCCATCCGGTTCCTGGACTCTGCTAGGAGACGCTGTCCATGCAACTCTCCCATATCTGGCATCCGGGTATGTTTGCAGCCTTCAACAAAGAAAAGGAAAAGAAAGACAAGGAGAAAGTAAAAGAGAAAAAGCTAACCTTCCCCATAGCGCCGGCATGGCCTTCGAAGACGGCTGCGTGCTAGGCGAATGTCTCTCCCGCCTACCCAACGCACCCAACACCGATAAAAAGTCCCCCTCCTTCCTCGCAGAGAAACGTCATGCGCTAGCAGTCTATGAGACGTGTAGAAAGTCACGCACGCAAATGGTCGTTCAGCGCGGCAACATGCAGCAGTATCTGTACCATTTGCATGATGGGCCGGAGCGGGACGAGCGGGATCGGAAGATGCGCATGGTGCCGACGGAGGAAGGGGAGGCGTTGGCGTGGAGGGATCCGGGGCTTGCGCCGAAGCTGCTGGGGTACCAGTGCGAGAAGGATGTGAGTTTGTTCCTGTTCATTTCCTTACCCTCTTTTCCTTTCTGTCTTTTGACTGTCGTTCTTCGTTTTGGAGGGGGATGGACCCCCCCGGGGTGGGGAGGGGGAAGAGATTGATTATTATTTTGTGGGCCGGCTAGGTTTTTTATTTTTTATTTTTTTATTTTAATTATTTAACCCTCCTCCGAGATGGTAAAGCAGTTTGACTAACAAGAATCTTGAATTTCAAATCTTCACAGGTCGCTGAGCACTGGAATATTGTTCCCGTTCCCTCGTTGCACGCCACGAGTCAGACACCGGAGGCGTCAAGGCTTTGAGAACCACGAGTGTCGGGGACACAATAGAGGGAGACTTGGGATCGAAGGGGCGCGGGAGGTGGTTAGACTTTTGAAATTTTTTAATAATTAAAGCAATACTAACGAAGTAGAACTTATTTTCTGCATCTAGGTATAGATTTTCGGCATCTCGTGAACTTTAATCCTACGACCTCTTTATTACCAGCAGTGTTTGATAAATTAAAGCAGATTATAAAAAGAGAAGAAATAGTAATATGAGTGCTATGATTGTATATACTGGAAATAAAGTATAATTGATATACAAATTGTTTGGTAAATGAATATTTAATAAACACAGGCTGTATATATTATACTAAGTATTCAAAAAGAACGAAGGACATCTTCTAGAAAGCTATCTAACTCACCAGGAAAAATCATATGGAAATTGAAATTCTCTCCTTCAATCTCCCTTAATTTTTCTCTTCGCACAGCCCCTTAACCTTCCCAGCCCTCTCTCCAACCAATTCATCAAAATACCCCAACAACTTCCCAGCAGGGACCATATCCAATACACCCAACTCGGGACTCGAGCTCGTCAAAACCCGTCCCCCAAAAAGCACACGGACAAAATAGCTTCCAATCCCACAATTCCCACCCCCTTGGGTAGTAGCATTGCGAGAACCTTCTCCCTCCGCTTCCAGTTTCCGATAAAGCTCAAAAACCACCTCCGCCCCCATCCCAGGCCAAACCATAACATCAACCTGCAAAACCGACAAAACCCGTGACAAACTCCCATCATGCGCAACATTGTGTCTGTAAATCCTCCCCCCATCGTTCCCCGCAATCTGGTCGCGAATATGCTGCGCCAGCTCCGCGATGAAAACACCCATACTACCCGCACTCGCCGCCAGTGAAGTCGGCGCGTCACGGTAGATGTACGAGTACTCAAACTCGCCGAGGCGGAAGATGGTGTCCGCGTCTGTCTGGGATATGCATTTGCTGCTGTCCGAGAGCGAGCAGGGGAGTGGCTTGGAGTGACAGAGACGTGCAGAGAGGTTGTCGAAGTAGTGGTCGACGTCCTGGTGCCAGTCTCGTGCGTCGGGGGAGACGCCGGAGATGCTGTCTAGGTGGGCGAGAAGGGGTGCGGAGAGAGTCAGGTGTTTGGACCAGGTAGTGTTTGGGGTGATTCTAGCGGCTGAGAAGAGGTTGCTAGAGCGGGGGCAGAGGTATTTGGGTTCAAGAGAGTCGATGGATGGGGACTATTTCTGTTCTTAGTGTACCCTCTCTCGATCTCTCCATTTCCTTTGAAATTGAGAAAAGAGGTTATTTCATGAGTAATATTACCACTTACTTCGACCGCGAGTGGAACGGCATGTTCGGAGTTGTACATGCCGTTTATGACCATGCTGGCTACTTGGCTAGTGATGACATTGCTAGTCACTCGAAACGATAATCTTTCAAGATCGAGCTGTGTAGGAAGGAAATGAAGTAGGTCGTGATACACGCCGTAGATGTCACGGCCATGCTGCCACGAGTCGCCGAGACCTTCTTTGGTGATCTGCGGGAACGTGCAGGTGCCTTTAAAACCGAAGGCTCTGAAGGGGTTTATTGAGTTCTCAAACACGTCCCAGTACGTCTGGGCGCTGGAATGGCCATACACGGGCTGGCCGAAGTGGAATAAGCTTTCATCGTTGCAATGCCAGTCATACGATTCTACAGGAAAGGAATTGGCGGCATAACTATGCTTTTGGGTCAGTGTACCGTGCATCCATACATAGACTACTCTTTACATGAGATTAGAACAATACTTACATAGTCCGCTTGTGATGTCTGTGCATCTAATGCTCGAACATGTTAATCACGTCCGCTTGATCCTTTCAGATAGAAATATCGACTGATCATACCACTTCAACATATTGGAGCTTGTACTCCTTCGAAGGTATTTCATACTCTGTCTTGCGGACATGAGGCATATTGCACAAATTGTATATCCCGTACTGGGCATCTTGGGTCTTGGAAGAGTTGAAAATGAAGCCATAAACACCAGTCATGTTCATCAGGCTATCAACATTATTGATCGCCGTGGATTTGGGAGGGTGCCATGACACATCAACTGCCTCTGAATGCTGCGTCGCAAGCACAGAGAGAAAGGGAAACCATGATGATAGTCGAAAAACACCCGCGTTTATCACCATATTGATGGCCCCCAGCAGAGAATAATCGAGGAAGATAAAAACTAAAAGAATGGAGACGTACAGCCAGCTGGAAGAGGAAATGAAGGCCATTGTCAGCTCTTATATTGTCCGGACCGAAGTAGATACTGCCGAATAGATACGGGAATAGGTTCGACAGAAGGCCAACGAATTGGTCAGATTCCACTATTGCTGTGAAGAAAAATGACGTAGATTTCAAGTGATTGACAAGACGATAGATCTGAGCTATGCTACTTATGATGCAACGCTCACGGTTCTCAGACGTTGATCATATTAACTATGTTGATATATCTTTATCCAATGATGAGGGCGCCAGAAAGGATGAGATGCACGTGCTGTAATTCAGATATGCATATGGCTAGATGTATGCAGTAGATGCATAACATATATATATGAGTAAGAGGTAAATAATAAGTTTACCGTATAAAGCAGACCATGCACTGTTATAAGCTGCTCGGTATAAGTTGAGGTTATCCAAATCCAACTCTGAAAGGATGAAGATTGGTCAAAAGCCCTAATTTCCGTTTTGGGAAGAGCAGCAGTGCACGGACGTACCTGATAACCAAATCTAATCGCGATAAGGGTTTCAGTGTTCACGTGACACCCGACGCGTTGGGGATAAATTGATCACCTCAACCCGTGTCAAAAAGAGAAAATAAACAGCATTTCTGGAATTCTAGCAAACATCTGGCTGGGATTTAACATTCCTAACTCCCATCATGGATAAGCCAGAATCATCATCAGCTGCTGCAAAAAGAGGACTTCAGGAAAACCTCGCTGGAGCCCCGCCAGACTACGAATTGCCCTGGTAAGAGTTGAATCCATGAGGAGAGGCCGAATATGGCCTATGAACAATTGAAAATCGAATAGGGCTAACTCTATCATACAGGGTTGAGAAATACCGGCCTGTCTATCTAGACGACATCGTCGGCAACACAGAAACTATTGAGCGGCTGAAAATTATTGCCCGAGATGGCAATATGCCACATGTAATCATCTCCGGCATGCCAGGTATCGGGAAGACTACGTCAATTCTCTGTCTGGCGCGACAGATGTTGGGTGATTCATACAAGGAAGCTGTTTTGGAGCTCAATGCCAGTGATGAGAGAGGTATGGCGACCCCTATTTACTCAGCAGCGTCGAGCATACCCTAACGAACCTGCTTGCAGGTATCGACGTCGTTAGAAACCGAATAAAAGGCTTCGCGCAGAAAAAAGTCACACTCCCGCCAGGTCGACACAAGTTAGTGATCCTCGACGAGGCGGATAGGTATGTACTGTTTTCTCCCTCTCGCCCTCTCGCCCTCGCCCTTTTCGATTCCGCTTCGTCATAATTTACTCACCCTCCTCCCATCCATGCAATAGCATGACATCCGGCGCCCAACAAGCCCTCCGTAGAACCATGGAGATATATTCTACAACCACCCGCTTCGCATTCGCCTGCAATCAATCGAATAAAATCATCGAACCCCTGCAATCCCGCTGTGCCATCCTGCGCTATGCGCGCCTCACAGACGCCCAAATCCTCAAGAGACTCACGCAAATCTGCAAAACGGAGAACGTCAAGCATTCTGAAGACGGGATTGCGGCGTTGATATTCAGTGCGGAGGGAGATATGCGGCAGGCCATTAACAACCTACAGAGTACGTGGGCTGGGTTCGGGTTCGTGAGCGGCGATAACGTCTTTCGCGTCGTCGATAGTCCGCATCCGATTAAAGTGCAGGCGATGATTAAAGCGTGTTGGGAGGGGGATATAGATGCGGCTTTGGATACGCTGAATGAATTATGGTATATTCCACAGAAGCATTGGCTCCAAAAATCAAGCATATTCGACTTGACATTGACAATCATTGGGACAGGGATCTCGGTTACTCCTCACACGACATCATCAGCACAATGTTCCGTGTGACGAAGACGATCCCCATGCTCTCCGAGCATGCCAAGCTTGAATTCATCAAGGAAATCGGATTCGCCCACATGCGGATATTGGAAGGGGTGCAAACGCTCGTGCAGCTCAGCGGGTGCGTGGCAAAGCTGTGCCGGATCAACATGAAGCCTGAGAGTTTTGTCCCGTCAAAACAATAAACTAACGGCCTCTGTAACAAACCTTGTTAAAAATGGCGAAGAAAGAGGAAAACCACTACCACCATTGAGTGATGAGAAGGAATTTTGGATTGCCGTCGACGACCACGAATTGATGGGACAAACCGACAACCACTTTGGTGACTATAGTGTTGCTACATCTTACAGTGTTGGAGCGGCAAACTCAAATTCAGCATTTGAGGTGTGAAGCACAAACGAACGAAATAATGGCAGTAATGAGAATGCCCTTTTTTATTCGGGAACAAATAGCCCTTCCGGTAACACAAAACACACGAGAACACCATCAAATCGGATGGCGAGGCAAGTATAACAGAGCGCTAGGTATATCGACAACCAAAGGGAGAGCAGGGCAATCGTAACGACTTCTTGTCAAACACGCAAGCTGAACACCCTCTTTTTTCTCCCTTCTCCCCGCAAAGCATGTTCCTAGCTGCCCGCATTTGTGCTCTTTTTAAGCTTCAGTCGCGACCGGAGAAGATGTAGTAGATTAAGTTACCAAATACTCTGTACGGAGTTCTGTACATAACATACGTACATTCTTAGCTAAACCGAGCGAAGGAGGATGGAAAGGCAAAATGGTTCTACTCTCTTTTATTTGTTCGGTCCACCCTTCCAACAAGGATCGACCGTAGTTAGTTAGTTACCCCCGCATTCTTTTTCCGGTGATATCAGGGTGGTAATACGCAGGGTATGTCCCGCTATACTCGCAAAGCATAGCAAAATAGCCGTGCTCTGCAGACGTTCTACAAGTCCGGTGGGATATAACGACGTACAGCTAGCTCATTTGGACTCAGCCTGAGATCTCCTGTCACGGCTAAAGAGACCAGCCAAAAAAAGAAAATGATATTTAGTTAACCAACCAGTTAACTAGCCATGGTGGTTCCTTTGAACAACATGTTGCATGACCAACCCTAACTCTGGTAACAGCTTGTATACCTAGATCGGAAGAGTGAACCCAACTTCAGAATGAAGCAAAATGAATGGTTCAAAGCAAAACGCGGAACTAAATACAAGTCCTGCTGACTCTAGTCTTGCACGGGAGAAGCAGAGTCTAGATTGAGAATTCTCCGCGAATCGCAATCTCTTACCCCCCTTTCCTTTTTTTTTTATTTTTACTTTTTTCTTTTGGGGTGTTGGTTCTGGTAGGACAGGTTACAGCCTGGATGACCAGTCTGTAATTAGTTCATGCGTTATCTGCCGACCGTGCCGATGGTGATCATTCAGGGCAAAACCGCTGCGCGAAACCCTGGTCGAGACAGTGACGGCGTGAGATTTCGCGTGGGAACCGTTTGGAGGAACCCCGAACATGTGTCTCAGCCGCTTTAACTAACTTGTTGGGAGACCTCTCGGGACTTGTTGGGAGCGATTGTACATACACAAGTTAACTAGCTATAGAGCACGTCATGTCAGCAGGTGGAATTGGGGTTCTTCTCCTTCGTTTTCTGTCTGACTCGCTCTCTCTGGTCGGAGGCAGCTTGGCTGTTTCTAGTTTTGCAGGTTTCCAGTATTAACAACACGTTGAAAGTCTGACTTCCCCTGTGGCAACGTTGAACCCAAGGCCGTCAGACGCATGATTGTCGGACAGGCAGAGCAGCGCCTAAGCAGCCTGCTGCGGAGCTGGCATAATGGCCCAAGGAACCTTGGGGTGATGCAAAGAGTAAGAGTGCACCCGTTGCGGTCGTTCCGCTGTGGCTGACAGGGCTAGAGAGAGTGCGATGATGAAGCCCCCATGGTTCTGTGAGGCTGAGGCCAGGAGAAGCCGTGGGTGGTTGAGGGGTTTAAAACTTGGTAGCCGGAGTTTTGGTTAGAGAGATCTTGGTTCCAAAGTGCGGGGTTAGGTTAGGGGCGGATAGGGTTAAAGGGCGCACCCGGAAGCTTAGTATCGAAGATTGGGTGTCCTTGGGTATCCGCCGCCCAGTGGAAATTGACTCCGCCACCGAAGATAAGACCTGGGAAGCGGGGAAGAGATTGCAAAACTGAGGCTGGCGGCTGGCAATTGACATGACATTTGCTAACAGAAGAGAGATTTGTCCAACGGCGGCTATAGCTAGGCGCGGAGAGGAGAATCCATTAACCTCCCTGCTCCACATCCCGCTATGCTATTCTCTGTCCTTGAACTATATATCCAGCATTTCAAGAGCCATATTGATAGTGAATTGGCATGGCTTCCCGGTTTCTTTGACTAGAGCTTGTCCTCGTTTTTCTCGTTCTTCTCGCACACAGGACGTACAGCCATATTCTATCTCCTCTCTATTCCTATATCTAATTGATTCCCTGCCAGTGACCCGACTGCGTCTCCCCATTAATCACCTCCCGACCTTTTTCTGTATATATTCGCCACCGGCCGTGTGTTTCAGCTTGTTACAATATCTGTTTTTGCATTCTCCCAACAGATATCCTCATATCCCTTGTTCTTGGCCGAGGTTGTTCGGATTCCACCCTGAGCGGTTGTCCGCCAGCTCCAGCTGGACATAGAGCAGACCAGGGGTACGCCCACCAGGAACCCGTGGGAGACAGCAAACTCCTCGCCTGGCGCCATGCGGGGTGCCGCCTTCTGCACACTGGGCACAGCGCTGCTCTCCGCGCTCTCCACGCTCTCCACCGTCAACGCTATCCAGCTCATTGAGAGAGACTCGCCACACGTTGTTGGTCTTGATATTCAGCGGAGGCATGTCTCCAACCCCATTGAAAGGGACCGCTTTAGGAGAAGACAGCTCAATGCCATTGCTGAGATTCTAGATAATGAGGTAGAGTAGATACTATCTAGAATGATTCCATTGTTGAAAAATCATTATTCATAACCTCACTAACTGAGATATTACAGAGACAGGGCACCCTCTATTTCTGCAATGTCTCGCTGGGAACACCACCGCAGAGAATCCGCTTGCACATCGACACCGGCAGCAGCGATCTCTGGTGCAATGTGCCACATTCGAGTCTCTGCTCCCAGGCAGATAAGCCCTGCGCCAGCGCCGGAACCTATGACTCATCTGCCTCTTCCACCTACATGTTCGTAAGTTCGGATTTCAGTATAACGTACGTCGATGGGTCCGGGGCAAACGGCAATTATGTGACGGATACGTTACAGTTGACCGGTGCCACTTTAGAGGCCTTCCAGTTTGGAGTGGGAAATACTACTTCTTCAAACGGTGCGTATCCCCCTATTCCGACCTATGGAGGGAAGGCGTGAGAGGATGTGGTGGAATCTCCCATTCGATCCACACAACGAGATGAAAAAAAAAAAAAAAAAAAACTAACCAATAGGCAGAGGGTGTACTTGGTATCGGATACCCAGCGAACGAAGCCCAGATGTCAAAGGACGGCATAGACCCCTATCCAAATCTTCCCGCCGCTCTTGTCGAAGCCGGCTACATAAACTCCAACGCGTACAGCCTGTGGCTCAATGACCTCGATGCAAACACCGGAAGCATTCTCTTCGGCGGTGTCAACGCCGCAAAATTCGATGGAAAGCTGCACACCCTCCCGATCATCCCAAGTATCCAGAACCTACACACCGAGTTTATCATCGCTCTAACAGGAATGGCCATTGATATCGGGAAGGGCAGCAAGAAGATCGGCTCCAGAAACTTTCCGATCGCCGTCCTCCTCGATTCCGGCAGCAGCCTTACCTACCTGCCCGATTCCGTCACATCGGAAATCTACCCCAAGGTCCGCGCCATTTACGACGCAGACATGGGCGCCGCTTTCATTCCCTGCTCTATGAAGGCAAGCACAGGATCTATATCCTTCAGCTTCTCCGGCATCACCATCGACGTCAGCATGAGCGAGCTAGTCCTCAGGCTCGACCCTAAATTCGACGGGATTCCCACAGAGTCCACCGGCATGCCAACCTGTATCTTCGGCATCTCTCCCGCCGGCGACGATGCCACCTCTATCCTTGGCGACACGTTCCTGCGCAGCGCCTACGTCGTCTACGACCTGGACAACAACGAGATCTCGCTCAGCAAGACTAACTTCAATCCCACCGGTAGCAGGATTCTAGAGATTGGGAAGGGCCCCGATTCCGTTCCTGAGGCGACGAAGGTGCCTAATCCGATCACCATTGTGGATTTCACCGGGTCTGGGGGCGGGCGGATTAATGGGCCGATGACGTCGTCTGCGTTTGCGGGGCCAACGGCCATGCCGGATTTGAGTGTCAAGGCGTTGGCGGCATTGGCGGCGTTGGCAGCGGCTAGTATTGCGTTTACGGCAATGTAGTGAAACTCTTCTTTTTTTGTTGTTGCATTCTGTTTGGCGTTTCGGATATATTCTTCTTGCATATGCATGCATTTTGATTACATCACATACATATACAGTTCGCATATTTGCATGGTGGATGGAAAAAAAATGGTGTGAGAATGGGTGGGTTCGGAGACTTTTTCAAGGGATAGTTCTCCCTTTCAAAGTCTTTCCAGTCACCGCTGACTTTCATTGTTGGATAAATTATTCATTTGCAATTGTCGGGTGTACAGATGAATGCGGTTTTTAAAATTTGGCCGGAAAAACCTTCGGCGTGGTTTAACTATGCTATAAACAAATTAAAACTGAGTCTCAATCCAACCCTCACGCATATCTCACGCATATCTCTATATGCTCTTGACGACTGTGATTTTGATCATGTTCTCAAGTCCTTAACCCTTATCTCTTAATCCTAACCGACCCCTTAACCCTGGTGTTGAGGGCGATGACGTTGAACAGAGGATGTAGCTATGCCATTATGTATGTGTTGGCGTATGTGCAGAGTGTACAGTTAGACTGTTGTTTATTTTAGATGGAGTGAAAGTAACCCACTTACTTGTCTTGGGATGGCACTGCACCCTTTGCCTTGATTAGGTAGTTCATATGAACATAATATGTGAGGGGCGAACCTTTTTCAATATAATTGAGCCCTCCTATATAAGGCCGGGCCGCAAGGAATAGGGGCGGTCTGTCTTGCTATTAATCTAAATATATTTGCATGCCGTATTTCAGAGCCGCACCCCACTTAAGTAAACTATATCCCACATATCTTCCCATCCTCAGTCCTATATACTTTATATCCTGCACCGCTCATATCATCTATCAACAGTCCCATCATATCCGCCTTCTGACAACAACTGCCCTAGCTCCCTCCCCATCCTGCCAGTCCTCACCTTGCAACTTTTCATCATCCACATCACACCTCCAAACCTCCACCCTCCCCTCCCCTGCTAACCCCCCGTAAATCACCCTTGCCATCTCCCCAACTCTCCCCGCCTGCCTCTTATCCCCGCACTCAAGCACAACAAGATCAGCATCCACCCACTCCGCGCAACCGAGCGCGAGGATGCGAGGGTAGAATGCATCCTCCCGTCTCGCGGTGATGATGACGTTTTGTATTTCTTCTTGCCTGGACGCAGGAGCAGAAGTGGCGGTAGTGATATTTAAAGTAGATGAATCACTAACACTAACGCATCTTGTAATGTCAGCGTTTACTATAGGAGGCGGAATGAGGGCTAATTTCGGCTCGTACATGCGCACGCTGCGGGATGTGGTCCCGTTTCTAAACTGGGTGGGGGAGATGTAGGGCGGGTTGGAGAGGAGGATTGTTATTGTCTTTGTCTCTGTGTCTGTGTCTGTGTCTAGGCGAGGCGCAGGCCTCTGTTGCTTTGAAGCCGCTTCACTGCCATTATCGAACGGCTGCGCTGAACTGATGTCCCTTTTCCTGTGATTGGGAGCAGCCGCGGCGAAATCCACAAGCATGCCTTCCATTTCCATCTCCCTTCCGCGTACCCCGTGGGACACCCGCGTGCTACCATCAGATCCAAGATCCGAAAGCACATCCCCCCATATAAAAGAGACCTCATTTCTCGCCCTCTCACTCAAGACTCCAAGCTTGATGTTATGTTCGAGATTCTCCCGAGCCAGCTCCAGAGCGCGGGCGCTGATGTCTACGCCGCATATCTGCAGCTGTGGAAATGCAGGGGCGAGCAGCGAGTGGAGGAGGAGCGGGATGCAGCCGGTGCCAGTGCAGAGGTCGAGGATGCGGAGTGTTGGCGGGTGCTTGTCTGATTCGGATTTGAATTTGAATTTGGAAAGAAGCAGGTTTGCTGTGCGCGTTGTGTAGGATTCTGTTTCTGGTCTGGATTTATTTTATTGACAATAGAGTTAAAACATTGGGGATAGGTTAGCGGAGATGTAGTATTTAAAATAACTGCTTTATCTACCGGCGCAACACTTAAAAATACAAACGGATACTTTCACGGAGGGAAAGACACACACCGAGGAATCAACACACCCCTCTGACACAGGATCTCCAACTCGCCAAATGGCTGGTCACCCAGGATGTACTGCAGTGGTACCCCCCGTGCTCTCTGCCGTACCATTTCTCGAAGCCTCAGCCGTACACACGCGTTCACATTGCTATTGCTATTGCCGTTACTTTTGAACCTCCCAGGCATCATCATTGATCTTTCGTCTCCCTGAAGATCCCTCCGGTCATCCCGCCCTCCATTTCGTTTCCGACGGCACTCAGCAAGCGCATGCTCACCCAACCACCTTAGTTCATTCTGGGCAGAGGGTAGGTCTCTGCATTCGCGGAGGAGGAGGGGGAAGAGGGGATGTAGGCTGTATGCATGGCGGAGGAGAGAGGGGGGGAGACGGGGCATTTATCAATATATACACCCGAGTCGATCCATATATATGTAGAGAGAGAGTTACATCTGGCGGTTGGAGGTGAAGGTTGGTGTCTCGATGGTCTCCGGCGATATAGTCCCTGGTAGTGACTACATGAACACCCTGACAGGCATCGGTGGTCCAATGGTTAAGATTCGACATTCCCATGTACCACTGCGGAAACATCGTCATGTCACGACATGTCGAGACCCGGGTTCGATTCCCGGCCGATGCAGCTTTGTTTTTCTTTTCCTTTTTTTTCTTATTTATTTATCTTTTTTATTTTCATGTTTTTGTCTGTCTATATTGCTTGGATATGAGCAGCGGTTGGGTAGTGAATTCGGGCTTAATTCATTTCTATGGTTTTCATTCCTCAATAGAGGTAGTAGGTGCCATAAGTGTTCACAAGGGCAACAAGCCAGCAAGCAACGAGATAGATACCGCGTGCCAAACCCAAACCCTATTAACTATACATTTACCCCGTCTGCCCCATATGAAATAGAAATGAATTTTTATTAACATACCACCTAAGCTAGTATTTTCATTTTGTTGCCTGTTAAGTTGCAGTGCGTTGGAAAACCACATACTGCCGTGCGATGGCAGGAGGAGTATATTTATACCAAGGCACCAGCAACGGCAATATAAAAAGGAGAATGGCCCGACCAAGCAGGTTCGAAGAATTCCTTCCGCGCGAAATCTGGCAGTAGTGCTCACATTGATGATCAGATCCACTTGTCCAAAGGCTCCAGTTCCAAGTTGCTCCTCAAATATAGACATGTTTCTGCGCTGAGTTAATGCCTGACTGTCATTCGCTGGCCCTGTTGCTGTCTACGCCAAGCGTATTAAATTCAGAAAGATTATTCTGAGAAGAAAGATCTTGAGGTTCGATGATGGATCTTTTTCACTCCTTTGGCGTATTCATTGCCACATGTCTTGTGGCTAGCGAATACGACTCTAGAAGGCAAGCCCTCGAACGTGAAACCTTCGTATCATACAGTTTCATATCATCGTTTCGAGATCGAGAATCCATGAGAAGTTTCGTCAAATCTCCTCTTCTGCTTGACCGTTGTAGCTGACCGCGCTACCAAAAGAGGAAACGTCTCGCAGTACAAGGCCTTTCTTCTCGTCAAAGGTGATACAAAAATGCATTTGCTAAAGCTGGAGGTTGTTGCATATCCCCAACTCCACATCGCAGATAGCTTCCAAACAAAAACCTTCTTTTTGAGTGCTTCAGCTTATTGCTTAATTGCATGAAAAATACGATGTGTGTTCTTAGAGCGTTCAGCTTCTGAAGGCTCCGCGGCCGTGGGACGGTGGATCCTCTCCCTTGTTTGACACTCTCTTGATCAACGTGAGGGGTATCGACAGTCTGTTATTCTCAATTGGTCACCTTTCGCTCTTCGCGTATGCAACGTGAAGCCCAATGCGGCCACAATACCGCGTGTTCTGATTTCATGATGGTAGTCGAGTTCATAGCGGAGAGGTCACCACCTCAACCTTCATTCATCTCAATCACCGAATGCCAACGTAATGGCAGATACAATGAAGAACTGCGAGTGCCCCGGGACTTATACTGTTCAGGAAGTATTGAATCTCGCGGCAGAGGATATACCAAGGCAATAGAACCCGATAGACTCTATGGAGTACCGAATTTCAGATTAACGATGTCATTTCCTTTGGTGAACAGTGTTGTTGTCGTAGAAGACTGGTCCAGCTCTGGGGAGAAGAAGCAAGAAATCCCAGCAAGCCTTTGGTATGAAATTGTGATGTTTACTGCCGTCATTTTCACTCATCCTTGAGCATAACGACCTTGTACTCCAGCGGGATAGAATCTTCCGGTCAATGCCCGTAGATGCACCCCAGCTGGAGGAGAAGCTAAGTACAATACAAGGGCCTTTGCCTTACTGCAGAGCCTTTCAGTGTTACTAACAGACACGGATGTAGACAAATTTCTTCGAACCCCATTCGAAACCCGCGCTCCTCCACTCCCGGCTCTCAACAAACCCTATGCCCCAATCATCCCGTCATCAAGGCGCTTGAGGCAGAGACACTGAAAGAAGATATACGGCTTGAGAAGGACTCCTACGAAACTCTGATCAAAGAAGGTGGCATTCCGTCCCACCCGTTCGGGCTCGGACTCGATATAATCGACGACCCTCCCGAACAGTATGAGGAATTAATTTCATTCTGTACGAGGAATGCTTGCTCTGCACTCTCACTGTTCACTCATCAGCTGGATCGCTGGAGGACTTTTGGAAGATATCAGCAAATAGTGTGACGACGTCGCTCGAAACCTGTTGATTTTCTGAAATATCAACAGGAAGTTTGGGAACGCCAACAGAAATATGAAACTGAGGATAACACACTGCTCCACCAAAACCGTGATGAACAGAGCAAGTACGAGGACTGGATAGAGTATCAGGACTATTCTCAACAACTCGTCGGAGATGTAGAGAAACGCCTGGCCGACGGGGAACAACAGCTTGTCATGGCACCGGAGGAACTAAAGAATGCGGGATTTCCAGTGGATGAAAAGATGAATGAGCGCATCATGGACGGGGTTGCATTGGCCTTTATGCAGAACATGTCCAAGGAGAAGCAGTTGAAATTGGCTGAAGAAAGACTGCAAAGAATTGAATCAGAAGACCGTTTGGGAGACTCAATAATCGTAAAGGATTGGATCAGACTCTCACAGGAAGAGCCGGAACTGGGCAAAGGCAGCGGCAATACAGCTGGTTCAATAGCAAGGAGGGAAGTTGAACTTCTCTGAGGGGGCCCCAGATATTCGAGAAAAAGCAGCATCGATGAATGAGGCTTTGAGGCAAGCAAAGGAGAATCTAGCTGTGGCTGAGTCGAATGATCTCGGTAATCGGATAATCCTCCGCTGTTCCTTGATAAGCAAGATGAAAGATGAGATCTTATCAGCAGAGAAACAGCCGGAAGAGTCAAAGCGAATGAAAGAAGAACTTATCATGAGATAAAAAGTGCCTGGGCGGCTATCTATACTAAAGGACACTTAAGAGAGAAATCGAAGAGTACAGGCACATACTGGACTGGATCGAGCAACAGCGTCAAGATAATGCTTTCTGAGGATTCCACAACGCAAGTTGACGGGAAAGGACAATCCAGAGGTCCTACAGGGAGTATCTCATCGGAAGCCACAAGGCCGGAAAGGTCCACGAGAAATCATCAGAGAAGACAAGGAAAGGCACACTCGGTTCTTCGACCGATCAGCCCGTCAAAATTTATTTCAAAAAGCCACTCGGCAAAACAGGAAGAACGTCGAAATATGATTCCCGCGATAATATTCATCACCTCAATTTTGATGCTGAAGAGCCTAGAGAGGGGTTTCCCGATTCTGTTTTATCCGCTAGGGCCAGATATGGACGAGAATGTTGATGGCGAAAGAGCTTTGAGGAGCAAGCAATATTTGTCTTCGATTCTCGAACAAAGTCTACAGGTGGATTATGCCTCATTCCAGGATGCCAACGACGCCACAGCATGGAAATGCAAATCGAATTACCAGGGCGCAAGCCAAAGTGACTATATCAGAGATAAAAAGCCCTGTTTCATTTTCAAGCGCTCCACCAGCGAAATATTGACTTAGCGGCCAAACGAAATCAGCACACAGAAATTGTGGGGAAACTGAAAAACTATCGGCATTGGAATCCAAGCCTCGAAGAATGTCAATGCTGATCAAGGAAAGATCCAAAGATGCCTCCACAGCCAAGTCCGCATGGGATTAAAAAGACCCCAAGCACCAGAAAGAATAACGTCTCTCGAAATGGCTGAGAAGCGATGCAACCTGATGGGAGTAAGATCAATGAATTCAAGGGCTTATGTTTCTGAGATAACTCCTGCTGAAATGCAGGGATTCTGAATGCCTGATCTGTCCTTTCTTCTGCCTGTTCTTCTCTTCCCTCTACCTACGCGTTCCAGACTAAGTCCGAGGTTTCAAGCCGTAGATTTGAGGTTGGACCCACCCTAGCCGATGCTCTGCATTGGTGATCGGCCTTTTGCCAGAATGGTTCACCTGGCGTTTGAACAATAATTCAAGTTAGCTACGTCAGGTGATCTAGTCTACTTCTGGTCAGTTACAAGCTCAGCCTGACTTTCATTCGGAGCAATCAAACCTGGGTTTTCAACCCATGGTTCTCCAGTGCTGGATCGACGCGCGGTTCACAATTCTTACGTTAAACCCGTCTTAGTCGACTTACTTTCACGATGTGATTTTGTCAATTGTGACTGTGTAACTCTTCTTCGACTGCACGCACAGTCGCTTTCTGACACTCTCAGATATGCTCTAATTGACTGTCTGTAATCGCGAGGGGCTTTTTGTTGAGCAACGACGAGATATCTGGACCATGACGTAAATAATTAGTGTCCGAGTATGACGATATGAAAACAGATTACCTTTAGATCCAGATTCAAGGGAGCATGCCCTTCGTCGGCTCTGGCGATATTTATCGCAAAGGTCGCCACCCGACTCGACTCGACGCGGACGTTGGGCGTGAACAAATGTCTAGTCTCATTGGATAGGGGGAGAATCTGAGCGGGAATATTTTTTTTTTTTTTTTTTTTTTTTTTTTTTTTTTCATCGGTGTACAACACCCGCGGTTCAACAGACTTTTGTTTTAGGACGAAGCAAAATTCCGAACCTCTTCGTATGACTTGAGCTCATATTTTTTTTTTAGAAATCCGTAATGTGGATGCAACTTGCATGTGTTCAAACTCTTCCAACAAAGGCAGACTAAAATTAAATGTTGGCATTCCAGCCGAACAGCCCGTCACTCTTGCGGCCTAAAACTAGTTTTATTTCACTTTCAATTCTCGAATTCAGATCTTAGACACGTGAATGGCCGAGTTATCCTGAGTCCAAGCAAGGCTGGCAACGAGTGGCCGTCTCGAACAACCGTTGCAATGGAGAACGGGGGCCTCCAGATGCCTATCACAGGAGGGGGGAGCTCATTCGAGAAACACCTCTCGTCGGGTCTTCTCGTTGCCTCGCGCTCCGTTTCCCGATGATAACGATCGTTACCTTGATACAGATTAGGCGTTATTGCTCCACTTACCCTTTGCCGGGTGTGTTGGCTCACACATCTTCCACATTCTTCGTCCTTCCCATGGCGGGTTGAGTCGAGTGACAAGCTTTGTAACCTGCAACGCCGTAGCCGCTGTGGGGGCCTGTCCTCCTGAGCCTGAAACTCAAAAGGTAATATAGGTTTAAAATACCGCAGTGCTCGGACAAGTCAACGGAAAGCAGTTGTAGGAAGCGTGTGAAAGCAGATAACCACTGTAGTATTAACTGGATTGTTCAGTAGTTAGCAGTGGTCAACGAAGTTAGTTGAACTACGTAATTCAAGTTGGTTGCAAGACACTGTTTTTTCGCACCTGAGAACAAGGCAATTTTAATTTTACTACCTGATTGAGTCCTGGGATATGCTGAACGAAATAACCAGCCTCGGCAAGCGACTGTTCATATCCAAGTAACAGTCGCGCCTGAGTCTGACATTCTTATTTGTGTGCGCTGAGCGATGGCTTATCGAAGTTGGACATAGGCATTTGACATTCAGGATCAGCTTAGCAGCTAACGTAGGTAGTTAAGTTAGTAGTTCCCGACTCCTTTGCCTCATAAACTTCTACGTAACTACGTTGCTATGCTCGATGATGACAAGCTGGTCTGCGGAAGAGGACGTGATTTTAATTTAATGTTTTTACCACGAGGCTTTTTCGATACGAAACGATTGCGACCTTGCTGTCGACGAAGAGGCTTTTTGTCGCACTCTACAGGCGGGTGAGTGGTCGTATAACTTCGGGGTTCCTTCGTAGACGACATATAAATTATCGAGTGTTTCTTTCTAATCGCTGATTGGGGCCTGAACGAAGTGGATATCAGTGTTTGAATACATGTCTCGATCACGAAGAGATTAGCTCTGTTGTGTCCGTCACTGAGAGACGATGCCGACATTCTTTATTATCAACGTTAGTTGATTGTCAGCGGTCAAGGATAAACCTCCTCTCAATGCGCGTTTTTTCTTCGTAGCGTCAGCGTCAGCGGCGGGGACGGGGACGGGGACTGGGGGCCATCCACCTCTGCAATGTGTATCATCGATGATGATGATGATGATGATGATGATGACGACGTCGTCGCGGTAGGGAGGGTTCATTCGAGGGAAAGCCAGAACCAGCTGAAGCCATGGTTGCTACCGGGTTTCCAGGTCAATGTCTTCGGGTTGATGGAGCTGTCGAGCAAATAGCCTTGTGGAGGTAGTTACATTTACCCAAGCGTCCGAATCATTTCACGCAACCTCCCAGAGAGGCCTTTCATATGAACAGAACAGGCCGTTTAAGACGGCATTTCAGACCCCCTAATCAAAACGATCTGCTATTAAACTCAATCCTGTTAACTAACTAGCTAGTACAGAGCCAAAAGTCACGGAACATGTCAAATGCAGGACCAAGGGTCCAAGGAACGGGGGATGTCTCCTCTGCATCAGCATCAAGGCGTCTTATTGGCCAAAGGCTTGACATGGTTCATTGGCCCGTGTTAAGGGAATGTTAATTTAATTAGGAATAGTTACGGGATCTGGAAACGGCGTAACGAATTACAACCTCAGCCGATGCGACGATGTCTCCACGGGCTTCCATGATCGACCCACCCAACAGCCCACCAAGATGCATCCAACCACCCACCCACCACCCGGCAACTTCGGCTATCCTCCCATTCTCCCTTTGGCTGAGCGGGAGGCGGGAGACGGATAACTTGGCCAACCCGCCAACATGTGAGTGCTGCACAGTTGAACGGAAACCTACAACTTCAACCATAGGAACGCAGGTGATGTGACAGCAAAAAGATCTTCGTCCTTGGTTCGCAGTTGTTCTGGAAGGAGTTTATGACCGCAGAACCTCAAAAAAACATGCCACAAACTCAAAAGAAGTGTCACCCAGCGTCATCAGCGGGTCCCGATCTCCCGAAGGTCTGTACCAGCTACTACAAGATCAGATAACGACGGAACTCTGCGTTCAGGTGGAAACTTTTACGGCTCTATGATGTCAGCTGGGGAGCGATCTGGGGAGCGACTCAACGTGACGGTTGCTTTTAACTATCGTTAGAGAAGCAGATCATCACCTTCAAGGGGCCTCGAGAAGAGAGCCCGTGTCGTGTGTCTGCGGGCAGAAGAATGCGTGCTGAATGTCGGGCACCTACTCAAGATGAGAGAACAGGGCGGCTTGAGATTAGAGAGTTCGTTCATGCCTCTTGAAATCTGATTGGTGCTGTAAGGATCTGAGAGACAAGAAACGCTAAAGGTCAGGGCTCCACATTTGAGCTTATTGGTTATGCTGACAACGGTGGCAACCCTATTAAGTCCTGATGAGATCTCCAGGGTAACAACATTGAGGTCTGATTCTTTCTGGAAGAGTCTGGCAGGAAAGAAAAAAAAAAAAAAAAAAGAGAAGAAAAGAAAAGAAGGCTGATAGGTAATACTTCTGAAATGTTGAACGTCGTATCGCTCCCGTCAGCATCAATGCCGTTAAACTTCTGCGAACCCAGAACCGGCTCGCGGAATTGATTCATCTTGATTTGCTAATTACATTGGGCTCGCAATCCCTTATTCGCGAGCCAGCTTCGATGTCGCATTGGTCAGGCCACCCCTTATACTCAACTTATTTAGTGACTTAAGTTGCCGTCGGCTGAGCGGATGGGAAAAAGTGATAATCTTGACAATAGGGGGTTGCATACCTATGTCAGGGACTATAAAACTCGACAAAACATACTTAAAAAAAAAAAAAAAGGGGGGGGGGGGGGGGGGGGGGTTTGAGAAATCAAAATGCTAGATAGTTTAACTAATGACTCAAAAGTAGCGCTTGTCGTTGGTCGTCCGGGAATCAATATACGTGACGAATAAGCCATGCAGGATGCAGATATATGCTTGATGTCTTTCATCGTAGAATGCATACCTGTGTATGGACTAACAAATATATTAACTGAATATATATGGGTATTGTCTCATTCCCCAAGCAGAAGTTCACAATCACCTGCAAAGCGCAGCATGATCTCTCTATCCCCTAAATAAATGAACTCTTCGTAAGGAACACCTCCCTAAAACCTGTCTCCCAGCACCTAAACGGGAGGAGAATAAAACGAGCATTAAAAAAGAAGGAAGTAAAACAATGAATGAAAAGAAAGGGAGAAAAAGTAAAAAAGAAAAGAAAAGAAAAAAAAAAATAAAAAATTGAACCCTCACGCCCGTTCCCACCTCTTCCAAAACTTCCACCAACCCACCCCTTCCACCCCCTTCACCCCCTTACACCAACTCTTCCCATCTCTCTTCCCAATCATCCAAAAATAAACCGGCACCCCCACCGCATTAAACCCAAGCACCAGAAGGGTCTTCAACGGCTCCGCAAACACCGCCCGACTAAGCAAAAACAAGCTGACGCAACAAAAGATAATCGGCGTCGTAATCCACGTCTTATACGGCCGTTCCAAATACGGCTCCCGGATCCGCAGGACAATAAGCCCCAGCACAGTCAGGAAATAAAACGTATACCCAGCCACGCCGTAGAAGGTTACCAGCGTGCCGAATTCGCCCACGATGATGTACAGGATTATCAGCGCGCTGTTGAAAAGCAGGGCGTTGATGGGTGTGTAGCCGATACCGATGTCGTCGCCGAACAGGCGGATGAGCGCCTTGTGGAACCAGGAGCGATGGCGCAGGCGGCGGCTGCTGCTGCTGCTGACACCCGCTGGCATGCTTGCGGAGCCCGCCATGCCGATTTTCCCAAAGAGGGAGGGCAGGTAGCCTTCGCGCCCAGCGGCGTAGACGAGTCTTCCGGCCGTAAAAGTCGTCGCGTTCAGGGCGCCAAAGCAGCTGGCAGAGACGACCAGGGCGAAGACGAGGGCGCCGATGGGGCCAAAGACCTTGCCGCCGAATTGGACGGCGATGGTGTTTGTGGCGTTGAGGGTGGTGGAGGGAAGGACGAAGAAGTATGCGACATTCGCGAGCATGTAGCTTAGGATCACGGCCAGCATGGAGGTGTGAACTACACGGGGCAGGTCGCGGCTGGGGTTTTTGAATTCGCCGGTCACGTAGTTTGTCTGGTAGTTAAATTAAAAAAAAAAAAAAAAAAAGGGTTTTGCTGCTGGTTAGCCAAAATGCGAGGGTTGTTGTTACAAAACGGAGAGATTTTGTAAACATGAGTGAAAAAAATATACGTACGTTATCCCAGCCGTCAAACGCCCACAGGCCCGCATATAGTGCTACAGCCCAGCTTGAGACGTCGGTGCTGGTGCCCTCGAACCAGCTGGTGGTCAGCCATTTCCGGTCTGCCTCATCTTTATACGACAGACCCGTCGCAGCAACGACGATGCCAATAACAGTAACACCCAGCAGCGCCAAAAACTTGAAAAACATAAACATATCCCCGATGCGGGTAGCCAGACGCGTGGATATGCAATTCACACCCGTCACAATCAGAAGCGCCAGAATAGCCACGCCTTTATTAATCCAGGGGTTAACCGTCTCGACGTCAGCCCCTACAATGGCACGAACGACGTATTCGCCAAATATGATCGAGATAATCGCGGTGGAACCGGGCTTTAGGACAAACACCGCAGACCACGTAAACAGGAACCCCGTCAGCTCCCCAAATATTTTAGCAAGGTACACCTGCGCACCGCCATTCAGCGGTATCGCCCCTCCCAGCTCTACATAGCTCGCCGCGCCAGTCCAGGCCAGCACACCCGCAACCGCCCACACAATGAGTGAGGCACCGGGGGATCCGGCGTTCGAATTGACCTGGCCCGGCGACGAGAAGACGCCCGATCCGATAATCAGGCCGATAATCAACGACAGTCCATTTAGATAGGAGAGGGTCTTGTGCCGTTCCAGCAAGCTATCGGCGGCCGCATTGTGTCTGTCTAGCGAGAACACGGAGGGTGCGCCTAACTGTGTATACCCGCTGACGGTCTGGGAGAGGGGGAAGAGGGTGCTGCCGAAGTCGAAGGCGGAGGAGACGGAGTAGGAGCGGGCGTTGCGCGAGTGGGAGGTAGCGGAGGTGGCGTCGTACAGAGGGGCTGAGGAGAGGGGGTCCTGGAAATCGAGAGAGGCTTTGCGCGAGGAGGAGATTCCGGAGGGGCTGGAGCTGCCGGATTGGTGTTGTTGGTGGTGTTCGTCGGAGTCTGAGGGGGGGCTGGAGGAGGAGGAGGAGGAGGAAGAGGAGGCGACGAGGGAGGCGAGTTCGAGAGAGTCGCGGGATGGATCGCCTGTTAGCCGTTGTGGGTCTTTAAAGGAGACGGTCATGCCTTTTTTTTATTTCCCCTTGCAGAAGGTTGTTTGTCGGTCTAGCGTCTGGGGAGTCGAGAAGCTAGGAGAGCGGAGGAGAGGAGAGCATAGGAGGCTGACGGGGACGGGGACGGGGACGGGGACGGGGAGGGTTATGAACAACCCTGCGCCATTCGAGGGGGAAGGGGGGTGGGTGCAGGTTGAGAGTATTAAATCATGAAATCATTTAGCGAGCTAGTTGACTATGTCGCGTTATGTTTATGTCGAGATGTTCGAGTCGATCCAGGTACTTTGCTTGTAGGTAACTAACTATTTATTTCCCGGGCGGTTGATGGAGAGAAACAAGGTTCTGACATGAGGTACAGGCGAGATACCTTATAATTACGCAGTATTGTATGGAGATGCGGGTACCATTGGGGTACCCCTGAGTTTGCGCCCGACTGCCAGGTTTCGGGGCAAATTCAACGGGGGGAAAACAGAGTGAATTTGATAAATACATTTCAAGCATTTTCAACTGACGGACTTATTATTCTACGACTGAAAACTTCGAAGGTTGCCGACTCCGTGCATGAATGGAGCAAATGCCCTACGGATAAGAGATTATATAGGACCCGTTTCCCCGCAGCGTTTGTCGAGATGAAGGTCAGCCGTGGCTACAGCATGGATGGATTCCATTTGACCAGCAATCCGCCCTGCACATTGCTGCTTGTCGTTGGCAGAGGGGAATGGGGGAAAAGCGATGGAGTTGATTATCTCTATTACCTCGATCCCCCCTTATTTCGTTGTCTCTTGTGTTGCTTTCTACTCTCTATACGAACACCCGCATGTCTCTTTGCGGATACAACGGCCCATTGGTCTTTCAGTTGAACTTCAGCTTTGCTCTGCTTACCTCCAGCGCTTCATAGGTATTGTTGATAAGCATCAAGAGGAAGAGCTTTGTTTCTTAGCTGTGCCTACGGGGACTGGGATTCAGGGATTCGACACTTGACCAGAAAGTGGGTTGACTCGAGTTGCTCATTTGATTCGTATACAACATTTCTATTTTTGAAGTAAAGACTGTATATTTATATTTTTAGCCACTTCAGATTGACAGGTAAACAGTCCTGGAGCACGCGACAAAAACTTTTCATGAAAAGTGACCGACCCGGAGCCCAATAAGCTTGATGGTTTAGGTGCCTTGACGCCGAAATCCACAGGCTTCGGTTAGTGGTTGGTCCCTAGGCTATGGGTAAAGCACCCCTAACTTTTTGCCCCTGGAGTGACTTGCGCTGTACACCTCCGTGTTTTCTTTACTAATCCTCTTGTTCTAGTTACCCAGGTGCGGTGGTTATATTTAGTTGCATACAGTCTTTCTATCTTTCTCTCCTCCCCCTGTTATGCTCTCCGTGTAAATGTCCCTCCTCACTCCGCCATTGCGGCCCGCCCTCTTCCCTCCGCCCTGTTATCCCGCCGCAAAACTCATCCGCCTCTCCAGACCCCCCTCTCCCCCCCCCACATCCCACTCTCCTCGCCATGCCTCCACAAACACGTCATCCTCACCCCCTAAGCAACGAACATGGCTACGAATCACCCTAGTCACCGCCCTCGCTGCCGCCATCGGTGCCTACATGCGTTACCAACAAGACTCCTCCACCGCAACCTTAAACCCCTCCACGTTCACAGAGTACGAGCTCGTCTTCAAAACCCCCGTCTCATCGACAAGCAGCATATTCACCCTACGCCCCGTGAAGAGCGGGCACAGCAGTGCCGTGCACAAAGAAGCCTGGCAGCGGGGCCTGTGGAGCGTGCAGTTCAAACAGCCACAGCTGCAGATCGGGAGAGATTATACGCCCTTGCCGCCCACCTTTTCTCAATCGGAGAAGTCGGATAATGGCGAAATGACCGGCGACAGTGCCCTGCGCTTTCTGATTCGCAGAGATCCACACGGAGAGGTGTCCGGATATCTACATAACCTGCCTACGGGCGCAAGGGTGGATGTCCGCGGCCCGCGGCTGGAGTATGCACTTCCGGCTGACGTGGAGGAGATTCTGTTCATTGCGGGTGGGACGGGGATTGCGCCGGGCCTTCAGGCTGCATACACCTTGTTTAGGAAAAAGCGACGACCAGAATCGTCGGCGAGGATGCATATATTGTGGGCTAATCGACGGAGGGAGGATTGTCTGGGCGGCGTCGGCGATAGCAGTTCTGCTCGGCCAGCTCCTGGGTCGTCGAACTCGTGGTGGAAGCGGATTTTCAGCAGCAGCAGCAGCAGCAGTAACCCTGTCGCCGCCGAAGATGCTGTGCCTAGGGAACGGGACAATACAGAGAACAGCGCTAGGAAAAGCATTACGGTGCGGCATCTTGAAGAGCTGAAGGCGAAGCATCCTGGCCTGCTTACGGTGGATTATTTCGTGGATGAAGAGGGGTCTTCGATTGGGAAGGAGTCTATTTTGGATTTTACGAAATCGGGAAAAGTTGCAGAGGGAGCCTCGCGGACGGAAACGAGTGCTAGGCGGGGGAAGAGGGTCATTCTCATATCCGGTCCCGACGGGTTTATAAGCTACCTGGCTGGTCCGAAGGTGTGGAGTGGCGGACAAGAATTGCAAGGCCCGCTGCAGGGTATTATACGCCAGCTTGACTTGAAGGATTGGTCTGTATGGAAGTTGTGACTGAGAATGACCAACAGAGAGAGTCTTGGGATTTCGACTCTTTGAACCTCTTTCTCTATTTCCATTTCCTTTTTTCGTATCTAGTTGCTTGTTGCATAGCGTTGGAGTCTGGTTGAATCTTCCTCCAAGATCTACCATTATTTTTCATTTTATTCTCCCGCCCAATACGTTGAACATCTAACATGGGCTACTGTTATGTTGAAAAAAAAAAAAAGAAAAGAAAAGAAAAGAAAAGAAAAGAAAAGAAAAACATAATAATCCCATCTTAAGTGGGCGTATTCCCGCTCTCTCTGCCACCCAGGTCTGAACACACACATTCCTCACTCCCGCCCATTCGCATAATCCTCCAGATAAACCACCAACTTCTCGACATTCTCAACAGGCACCGCATTATAATTGCTAATCCGTATCCCACCCACGCTCCGATGCCCTTTCAACCCCTGAAGCAACTTCTTCTCCGCCCCAACCAGGAACTCCTTCTCCTTCTCCGCATCACCGCCAGAGACACGGAAGCAAATATTCATCCGACTTCGCACGTTCTTCCGCGGCACGATACCATATATCTGCGGATATTTATCCAGCGCTCCATATAAGAGCGTCGCCTTGTGGTTCGCAACTTCCTCTTGTCCGCCCACTTTCTTGTCTCCGTATGTCTTCACCAGATGGGCGATGACCTCGCCAGCGATCCAGAGGTTGAAGATGGGCAGGGTGTTGTAGAGGGAGTTGTTCTTGGCGATGGCGGCGTAGTCCAGCACTGTGGGGCCGGGTAGGCTGCCGATTTCGAGTTTGCGGAGGAGGTCTGGGGATGGAGTTGCGGTTTGAGGGGGGAGGAGGGACTTGCGGACTATGACAAGGGTGATTCCGGCGATGCCCACGTTCTTTTGGGCTCCAGCCTGTAGGCATTATGAATTTGATAGATTAGCGTATGATGTATAATAGATAAAGCCATGGTAGTGTGACACTCACGAAGATGACCGCAAACTTCCGCACGTCAATCTTCCTACTCAGGAAGTTCGAACTCATGTCCGCGACAACAAGCCTCTCATCGTCTTCCTCCTCACCCTCCCCGTCCCGCGCTTCCAATACAGCCGGAAACCCAGGGAACTCGACCCCATCCACCGTCTCATTGTCACAATAATAGACAAAAGCCGGCGCGCTACCCTTCCCGCCCTCCCTCCTCGTCTTCGTAAGCCTCCACTCCTTCTCGTCCGGAATAGTCCCGAATTTCCCGCCGTTCTCCTCCCTCGCATCAACCGCAACATTGACAAACCGCTCCCCGCACAATCTCTTCGCCTCCTGCATAGCCTTCAGCGACCACGAGCCCGTAACCAGATAATCCATCCTCAGTTCCTCCCGCACCATCCTCTTCAACTCCCTCTCCACCCCCGCCTCATCCACATCCTTCCCCTCAGCGGCGGCGGCGGCAGCAGCGGCAGCAGCAGCAGCAATCCCCCTCCTCTTCCTCTCAACCCACACGCCCACTAGATGATACACAACGGCACTAAACTGCCCACACCCCCCTCCCTGCATGAACAAGATCTCATACTCGTCCTCAGGTATGTCAAGCAGCGTGATTAGATTCGCCTTCGTGTCCGCGAGGATTTGGTTAGCTGTGGGAGAGCGGTGGGAGATTTCGGCCAGTCCCAGGCCGCTGTCCTGGTAGTTTGTCAGGACTGCTGCGGCGGATTCGATGACGGGGGTTGGGAGCGGGGCGGGGCCGGCGCCGAAGTACGAGACGGAGCCGCGGGGTGGCATGGTTTGTTGTTTATTTTTTTTTTTTTTTTTGTTTTGTTTTTCTTTCCTTTCTATATTGTTGTACCTATCTGCTTCTCATTTCGTCGTTTTTTCTTTTTTTTTTCTTGAGCGGTTGAGGTCTGAAGGGGGGTTGCAAAGATGTAGATATAGGATTGTTGAATGCGGATTCTAGTGCGAGAGTGGTTACTCCTGCTGCTCTGAAGGTCCTCTTCCCCTACGGCTATGAAGGTCCCCAATGGATCAACCTGTCTTTAAACTGGATGGGTGGTATTGATGGTGACCTCTGGTTTCGAAAAGATAACAATGTCGAAAGCGGGTGGGAGCTTTTTCTAAGTTTTATGAATTGGTCTTTGCACGGGTTCCTACTATTATTATTTAACACACGAAATGATCCCTGTGTCAATGAACTCAAGTTCTCTGCTAGAAGCTACTAAAGCTGCATTGGGGCACATCGTTGGCAGCTGAAGACTGAGGATAGCGATTGAGATTTTTACTCCGCAACTGTATTTCTATCCAGGGGGAAGCCAATGTGTACTTCAAAACGACAACTTGTCTTATTCTTCCTCATGTGTTGACCGTTGGAGTCCGGCGGGCCATCATAGTCACGTGACAACAATACATATTCTCCGTTTGAGCGCATATGATTGGACCGAATGAATGACTACTGCATGACTCATAAACATCACATGACTTTCCCTCCTGAGTTTTTGGAAGGAAATCTTGGCATGCTTGGCATATTTGTCTGTTGTGCAAACAGTTTCTTATGTAATCCCGCGCTTCTCATTCGCTTGCGGCGAAATAAATTTTGTCTCTGGGTTATACAAGAGTGACCCGGAACAAACGAACGAACGACGACAACGACGACGCCGATGACAGTGAAGGAGGAGAGTTAGACCTCCCCTCTTTTGATGTTTTAGGCGCAGCGCGAGGGGGGGATATCATATCAGCACATCTGCCATCATGATTGTACATCTACCGATATCACCGCCCAGCAGTGCACATCCTTCAATTGAAATTACGCTAATCAAAACTTTTGCAGACTCGATCTTTGGCCGCCGCATACGGGCCTCGTTTGCTCCCGCGGCGCCAGCTATCAATCCCATCATGCTACCGTCCATTCTCTGCCTCCAGATGGACCCTCTCTCCAGACGTCTACCATGCACAGCGTGAGGACCCTGCAGCCTCGGCCATTCTCTCATCCATCGAATCCTCCACGGCCGCAACCCCTGTGCCCCAGACACTGGTTGAGAAGATCGTCCAAAGGTTCTCCGTTGGCCTGCCGCAGGGCAAATATGTGCGGTCCGGTGACTACGTCACCATCTCCCCCTACAAATGCATGACACATGACAACTCGTGGCCCGTCGCGCTGAAGTTCATGTCCATCGGTGCATCCAAGCTGCAGGATCCCAAGCAGGTCGTCATGACCTTGGACCATGACGTGCAGAATAGATCCGAGAAGAATCTGCAGAAGTATCGGCAGATTGAGCAGTTCGCCAAGACTCATGAGGTGGATTTTTATCCCGCGGGCAGGGGGATTGGGCACCAGATCATGGTTGAGGAAGGGTACGCTTGGCCAGGCACTCTTGTCGTGGCGTCTGACAGCCACTCGAACATGTATGGGGGTGTGGGATGTCTGGGTACCCCAGTTGTTAGGACAGACGCTGCCAGCATCTGGGCAACGGGGAAGACATGGTGGCAGATCCCCCCCGTCGCAAAAGTCACCTTTACAGGTGTCCTGCCCAAGGGCGTGACGGGGAAGGACGTCATTGTCGCTCTCTGCGGTCTTTTCGACAAGGACGACGTGCTCAACCATGCCATCGAATTTGCAGGATCAGAAGCAACCATGAGAAGTCTAGCGATAGATGACAGACTTACCATCGCTAACATGACGACAGAATGGGGTGCTCTGGCCGGTCTCTTCCCCGTGGACAGCGTCTTGAAAGGTTGGCTGAGATCGAAAGCCACAACCGCTGCCATGTGGGGCTCGTCTGTCGACGGACTTCCGAGTTCTGCAAATACCCGCTTCACCCACCCACTGCTCGATAAAATGTTTGAACAGCCCCTTGCCGCAGACAAGGGAGCCCAATACGCCAAAGAACTCTATCTAGATCTCTCCACCCTCCCCCCTTATGTCTCAGGTCCTAATTCCGTAAAAGTCGCTAGCCCGCTGAATGAGCTGGAAGCGCAGGACATCAAGGTTAACAAAGCCTATCTCGTCTCGTGCACTAACTCCAGAGCATCTGACCTCGCCGCTGCCGCCAAGGTCTTTAAGGAAGCCGCTGCAAAGAACAACGGCAAAATTCCGAAATTGGCAGATGGTGTCAAGTTCTACATCGCAGCCGCTTCCATCCCTGAACAAAAAGCTGCAGAGGAAGCAGGCGACTGGCAAACGCTTATCGAAGCAGGAGCAGAACCACTCCCAGCCGGCTGTGGACCTTGCATTGGTCTTGGGACCGGTCTTCTGGAACCAGGTGAAGTCGGCATCAGCGCCACCAATCGCAACTTCAAGGGACGGATGGGAAGCACAGATGCTAAGGCGTACCTTGCCAGCCCTGAAGTGGTAGCCGCCAGTGCACTAAGCGGCAAAATCAGTGGACCGGGCTGGTATGAGAAGCCGGAGAGTTGGACGGGTGTTGTCCGTGGCGAGGGCGACGGTGTCAAGGAAGAGGACCGGATGCTCACGGCCGAAGAGGCTATCGAGAAAGTCATTAACCAGCTTGACAACATGGTCGAAGACGCCGAGAAGATTTTCGGGAACGAGTCCTCTTCCTCCTCGACCTCAGCCACCGCATCCCCACAACAATCAAAAAACTCATCGGACAACTCCTCCTCCCTCACAGAAGTCTACCCGGACTTCCCCTCCCGCGTCTCCGGCGAGATAATCTTCTGTGACGCCGACAACATAAACACCGACGGCATCTACCCAGGCAAATACACCTACCAAGACAACGTAACCCGCACCCAAATGGCCGCCGTCTGCATGTCCAACTACGACGCCTCCTTCTCCACCCTCGCGCGCCCCGGCGACATCCTAGTGACAGGCTTTAATTTTGGCTGCGGCAGCTCTCGCGAGCAGGCCGCCACCGCCATCCTGGCCAAGGACATCCCGCTCGTCGTCGCGGGCAGCTTTGGCAACATCTTTTCGCGGAATAGCATCAACAACGCACTTATGGGGCTGGAGGTGCCTCGGTTGGTGTCGCGGTTGAGAGAGGTGTTTGGGGGCCAGGGGAAGCTGACGCAGAGGACTGGGTGGAAGTTGACGTGGGATGTTAGGAGGAGTTTGATTGAGGTGCAGGAGGGAGAGGGGGGCCCTAAGTGGACGCATCGGGTCGGTGAGTTGCCGCCTAATGTGCAGGAGATTATTGCGCGGGGTGGGCTGGAGAAGTGGGTTAAGAATGCGATTGCGGAGTTGTAGGACTTGGTGTTGGGTTGTTGTATGTTTTGCTTGTTTCTTTTTTATGCTCTGCGAGCTTTTCTCGTCTGCGAATATTCTCCCGCGATACCATGGGCTCCTCTTCGTCTTTCTCTTTTTCTCTTATACATTTTCATCTTGCATATATCGTTTCGATTTTGGTTGTCGTGTCTTATATCACTAGACTTGAATTTTTTTTTTTTTTTTTTTTTTTTCCAGGTATCTTCCATTGGATTTAAAACACGGAAGACGGGATTGTTTTCATGTTTCCCCCCCCCCCCCCCCCCCACCATGATTGATTTTACCATTACGAATGAAAGCCTGCGTCCATGCCCTCTATATGAAGGCACGCATGAATTCTAAGAACGTTATTTAGCATTTTCTCTTTTGCCCGGAACCATCCACATAACTAATATTACAGCGGTTTTCCACCCAGACAGAACGAGATGCCATTCTAAATCAGCCACTTGCGGTTTGTATCTTTCCCTTCTATCCCTGAACCTTGAACTATACACCGGTTTCCGCCAGCCTGGTCGGTCGGCAGAAATCTGCCGAATGTTACTGTCCAATCGGTGGGTGGATCATTAGGATCATTATCGCTTCATATGCACAACTATGGATAACTGCGCTCTCTCACGCGGCGCCACTGCATATATACACGTATATTTGGATAGTCATGTTTATTCATTACTTTGCAATTTTAGACTCGTATAGTTTACTTCGGGTACCGCTGACTACCTAACTACGCCCAGAAGATATGCCAATGCAGAATGAACAGCTGCATGTTTTTGTTATGGAGACCCAAATACATTGGCAAAATTGTCCAACGAGGAAAACTTGTTTTAAATTGAATTTATTTACATGTTATGTTCGCTTTCCTTCTGACTGAGCTGATTTTGCTCACATCTTATACAGGTCAGCACCAATCATCACGACTAACCGCGATTATTGAGCCAAACAGAGAAGAATTGGGGAATACGAAAAGCTCAATCGGGCAGGAAATATTATCAAAACAGATCCATGGATAGCATCAATATATACTGGCAATCAACCAGAAAAAGGATGAAATCAGAAAAGGAGAAACAGAAGAGGAAAAGAAAAGATTCTAATCTTCCGGTTTATCCGATGCTACCCCCCCTATCTGATACTCGGAGACACAGACGCAGAGGGATGATGAACAGTCATACCCCCTTCCAACTCCACAAACCCACCCGTATCCCCACCACCAGCTAGCTCATGCGGGGTATTTTCCACCCCGTCCCCCACCTTGGCTAGATTGCCTACATTACCGGCTTCACCGGAACCAGAGCCATCCCAACCCCACTGCGATCCCGGAGAAGCATTATTACCATTATTGATAAACACACTGCTGAGATGCCCAGTGATATGTGGCGAATTCTGCGAACTGATATAGCTCATATGTCCCGGCTGCAAATTCACGGCAGGGACACCCATTTCGCTGGGCGGCGGATGCAGACCGATATCACCACCACCACCACCACCAACAACACCCCCATTACTCTTCCCGCCAGATGACCACCCTCCCAATCCACCACCACCAGTGATACCCGATGGCAGCGGCCACCGTTTCGTCCGGTCCGTGCGCCCATCTTTAGAATGGAGCCACTTGCGATAGATAGCGTTGCGGCCCAGGAGGAAGAAGAGGGAGGCCAGGATGGCGATGCCGACTACGCTGCCGATGGCGATGCCGGCTATGGCGCCGCCGCTTAAGGGGTGGGTGTGCGGGGGTGCAAGCGTGGGACTTGTTCCTCCCTCGCGCCCTTCGGCTGGCGCGGTTTCCCAGGGCTCTAGTTGGAATTTGGCTGCTAGGGCTTTCTTTTGGTGGTCTTCGATGGACATGGTGGAGTTCTGGAGTGGGAGGAAGTAAAGGAGATGAGGGGGAGCGGGGTTAGTTTACGAACTGGGTTGTGGTGGAGGTGCGGCTTGATTGGGGGGTTTTGTTGGGGGAAATTGTTGGGGGGCGGAGGGTTGGAGAGATATGAGGGACGTACTGGGTTTATGGCGCCGACCATTCCGTTCTTCATGCATGAGCCTATGGCGGTGCAGTAGAAGAATGTCGGCTGGGATATGAAGGTGTCAGCCTATTGAGCTGCCTTTCGCCTTTCCCAAGCCCCGTTCGAAAAAGCAGCAGTCCGTGCAGAGTATGTTTGTCCAGAATATGGGTACCACTCACCTCCGTGGTATTGACCGTCCATCTCCATGTCGCCGGCTGAGAGAATCCCAGATACGTCCGTTAATGAGACTGCACAAAACAGAACAGGACAAAAGAAAACCCACTCTCTCAAACCCCCCTAGCTGAAAATGTCCCGAATAGAACACATCCTTGCTGGCCGGCATACACGGCGCGTCGAAATCGGCCCTTACAACAGAATGGTTCGTCGGATAGAATTCGAAAAGGATCACATCGCCAACATCGGCTTGTACGCTGTTCGGCACATATGCGTGTAAACTGCTCTTCGGTCCCACTGATACCGTATGCGTTGCTGGAGTTTTTGTCGACGACGACGACGATCGTGTGGTCAAATCCTTCGTGTATTCAGATGTGAGTGTTGCTGGTAACGTTCTTGTGAATGTGCCTATTCTCGTTATTCCTAACGTTGAACCAATCTTTTGAGCGTCACCCATGCTTTGATGAATTAATTCGATCAAGACAGCTTCGAATGCCTTTTTTTTTTTTTTTTTTTTTTCTTTTTCTCTTGGGTTGGCCGATTGGGATTGGAGATGCTATCCTATTTAGTCGGGGCGGAGATGGGGATGGGTGTAAGAATGGGAGCAATGGTGGCTCTGAGTGAAGGTTCAAAGAGAATGAATAATCAAGCAGCGGAAACTGGAAACGGGGGCCAACGAAGAGGTAGAGAATAGAGCAAGGAAAAAGAAAAGAAAAGGCGATGCCGGGACGAGGAGACTGAGGAGAGAAAGGTACGGTTCGACGGGGCAAATCTGTCTCCTGTTGGTGGGCGGTACCCTGAGTTGCTGTGGGGGATAGATATCTCTGAATGAAATCTATCTCAAATCCAAATCCCTACTTCGACTCAATTGACTTTCGAGAGTGCAGCGGGGAAGGGAAATTGTCATGGTCATCAAAAACAGGCCCTTTTTTCTTTGTTTTGCTGTTTGTGTAGCCAATCGTCAGGCCTTCGTCGTTGCGACGAAATCTAGAAACCCTGAAACACGATGAAAGCTTGGGATATTAAACGTTTGAAAAAGAAAGACATATCTTCCAACTCAAACCCTTCCTCAGCGTCTTCTCTGCAACCTTTTAGTTTCCCCCCCCCAATCCCCTTCTATGTTTTATGTTCTATATCAACAGATCGCAAGACCAGCCGGAGACCAACGGAACGCCCACCAGCAGGATGGAAACCCCGTTGATTGACGGGACAGAACAGCTGTCAGCTGCATCTGTCTGTAGCTTTCATTTGTCTATTTATACACGTTGAGCCAACAAGGTTAAAATCTTGTCCGTGGTTGTTATTGGATGATGAGCACCGGCGATTGCAGATGCCTGTCTGTAAGCAACCATGGGATGCTGGTTCTCGAGGTAAACAGCACGTCAACAATTTTGGTGGGTGATGGGGAGGTTCACCGTGAAAGGCAGTTAAGGCTGGAGTTGCCAACAGAACTGACAGCTTGGAAGCAAGGTTGTTTTTTTTTTTGATAAATATGTCTTTCTAGTTTGCTCGCAACCCATGGCGATTGATTGGTTTAAGCTGACAGTCGGAGATCCGAATCCTGCAGCGGCCTGCAGCAGGCGACGTCAAAAATAGGTTCTGGCAATCTATCGATCGTTCAAGATAATAGATTAGACTGTTAACGTAGACAGGAATAATGAAAGGGCCCAATGGCTCTACTTCCAAGGTTTGATCGTTATTCATCTCATAAAGTGATGGGAGCGGCGTGGACATGGAGAGCATGGTATGGCCACGGGCAATGTAACGGCGGAGATAAAGGGGGAAAAGGGCCTGTTAGTTACAAGCTCTCTATTATTAGTTATCCCCGCATTTTGGCAAACACTGCCACTCTCGTCATCACGGTATGTACGTATATACCCTCTGTCCGCGAGGTTGGGACGGGAGATCAGCAAGCCGCAGTATTTGGGGAGTGTGAGAAGCTTCGAGAACAACCCGGCATTGGTAACAGAGAACACGCAACGCCTCTCCGGATTGGCTTGGAAAGCCGGCGGCTGTCATGGACGCGGCGATGTGCAGAATATGTGTCGTTAAACATCTCGCAGCGCGGGTTGGACAAGAAAGAGGCTCAGGAGATTTCAATCCTACAAACTCAAACTCCTCACTAAGCGCGCCTTTTTGAAGGCGATTGGACAGAAGAGAAAAAGGTTGGTTCGTTGGAACTGTTGAAGTCTGCTCGCACAGTTCTGCTTGTGGTTCGTGCCTTGCAGATGCTTAATTACGTTACTGAAGATGGGCTGAGTTTCGGGATATCCGCGACCCAAGGTTCTCTCCCGAACTCAATTACTACGACATGCAGCGACTCCAGTGAGGGGAGAAGTTGAAGAAGACTAATTCCAATGGACCAGCTAACGTATTCGCAGTCCCGTCACGTCTGCGATAGAACCCCTCGCGATCTATATCTCCTGACATACGATTGATGGGTGGAGCATACAGAGCACGAGCATCACTGGCGCAAGGCCTGTAGTTAACTGGTTCGCGGGGACTGAGAACTCTCTCTTAAAAAGCATAAGATTGATGAACATTTCATGTGCGAAGTGTGAGTTCAATATTTCCGAAACGATATAAAACAACATTTGCATTCTTTTCTTCCAGCCCGTCCGACGTGTTTATGCTTTGCTCGCTGCTTAGTGCGATGCACCTATAGCAATATGATCACTTACCGAGAACGAAACCTGGAATGCTGGGGACGCTCCAGGACGTTCCCTTCCACTCTTGCGATGCTGATCCATCTTGACTCTGGAAATTGTTGTGTAAATAGAAATGAGCTGAAGAGACCTGGCCGCCGGACCGCTGGGAGAACGACCTCTATTTCCGCCGTGGCGTTGAGAGCTCCCAGCCGTTCTATTGTTGGGAATGCGACTCTTAACTGTTATACACCTGTCTGGACTCTATCAACATGACGAGATGTGCCGGAATGCTCGTATTTTTACTCCAGCACGGTCATCCTCGCCCCCTTGAGAGACTGGATCGTGATATCGGACGTTGAGTTGCGATATTGCCAGCAACTCGATGCAGTTCCAATTCTTTGCTCTCTTAATATATATATATATATATACATATATTGGGACCCTGTGGGTTCAAGCTTTTTAGCATGCCTTTTTCCAGTCGAGGGTTGGTGTACTGGAACCGCATCCAGCTGCGTGTGTCTTTGGTTTATTTGAGCATACGTTCCTTTTGCTTCCAGACATCAAACAAGAGCCCGTCTGATACTATCTTGCTTTGATTTTGCATGGGCAGATCTTTTCCCCTGAGGTAACATGTCTTCCATAAATAACACGATCCGTTTCTAGGCATGTCTTTTGACTTTGGTGTGCATTTTACCCCATGAAGGCCATTGCCCATCCCCACGCCTCCTTTGGTCCCGTTGTGTGGAGCATATTGAATGGACTTTCCAAGTATTTCAACAGCTCATTGAAGGACTCTTTCACCTGTCTCTCTTCACAGCATCATGCGTGATGAAAACTTTCTGTTTTCTTTCTCTTTGCTACAGCAAGGATCATAAAGAAGAGTAACTGGAGAGATATGCATTTTTGCACGACATTTTCCTATTTATAGTGCATGGATTTCTTGATTGTCAAAAGCGCTGCTTTTTTTATGTGACAGTCGCTATTTTGAACTACTTCTTCAGAGAGACTTCAGCAGCTATCTTTCTTTCCATATGAACTGCAATCATCCACTCCACTTTCCTTGACGTCCCCTTATATGTGCTTCCTGTGGCAGGCTTTTGGGAATGGAAGTGATGTTCTTAGTCCATCTAATCATCATCTACTTATTGCCATAAATGCCCAATTGCCAGTCTATTGCTTTGTGCCAACCCCCAACGTTTGGTGATAGACTGCCGGAGCCTTCCTCACCCTCCAGTTGGATTGACTGCATTGGATGACGATGAAGGAAGAAGAAACGGATAGAATTCTTCCTGGCGGAGTCTTCGCGATCCTTCAACCATGATTTGCCCTCTCAACTTTTCTGTATCAAGAAGATATATATTTATATTAAGATACGTACATATAGAAGAGGAGCAGGGCGGGGGCAGGGAAAACCAAGGAGACAGTCAACACATCATCCCAAGCTGGCTGCCTTAGCGATGTGTTGCTATCTCGTTGCTATTCACAACACTGTTATGATCTCTGGCTAATCTTCTTTCGTTTCTATCCACATCCTGTTGTTCTCCGTTCGTCTCGTTTTCTTGTTTCGTCGCATTAGAACGTTTGAAGTATTGTGCCTCTCCGCAAAGAGTTCAGGCACAGCATCTTCCACTGGATCCAAAAAGCCCTTCTCAGAGTCCAGCCCGAAAACTCTCAATCCGCTGAGAGCTCCTCCTTTCCATTTTGCGCGTCTCGTTCTTCGAATCCCTTTCAAAGCAATCCAGTGTTTATTCCCTATTGAGCCTGGACTGCTCTAATTCCCCCCGCCCCAACCAAACATCATTTCTCCTTCTCCATCCACTTTGCTGATGGCATCCAACTTGGACTCTGGGGTGGGATTTGCCAGTTCGCTGGTACCTCTTGGAACTCCAGCATCGCCTCAATCCACACTCACGTTCGAGGGTATGCCGTTAGATGTGCAACGTATCATTATGGATAATGTAAGGATCAAGTTTGTGATCTTAGTGATATCTTGCGTTGTGCTAATAGAAACTCACAGGTCTCAAGGCAGGATATCCTAAATATGGCCAGGGTGAAGGCTTTGTCCAGCGCAGCTCGACTGTGTCTGTACACAACGGTTTCCCTGCGTCTCGCACAGCATGAGGGATTCATCGAGGATCTGAATCGTTTCAAGGCGGCCGGATGGCACAATTTGGCCCTTGTGCAGAATATTTCAATTCTCAATTCGAAGAGGCGACGACGCGACCCGAGAACGGGCCAGGTTCTTCCCCATTATCGTTTTAATCGTTTTGGTAACTGGGTGGGGAAAGACCTGTGGACGACAAATAGCGAAGTTTTCAATCAGGAAATCAGGTCTTTGCTTGTTAACATTCCTAATCTCCGTAGCGTTCGGTAAGTCACGTCATTATAAATCTTTTCTTTCTGTCAATTTTCGGTTGTCAGCTAATCGCGCTCTGGCCAGCTGGTTTCATGTATTTAAAATGAGTCATGAAACTTTCGCTGCCATTTTTACGGCGCATATTAATACACTGTCCAGTTTAGAGACGAATACACTTACTGGTAGCGAAGTTGCTATCCTCCCTTGGAGGCCTAATTTAGTGCAATCCCTGCCTCTATCGATTGGGTTGCACAATTTAAAAATCGTTGGTCGGAATGGAACTCTGAATTCCTCGCTTCTGAATTTCTTGACTCGTCTTGCTCCCCGTTTCGACCATCTGGTTCTCGGGGATGAACTCTTGCTGCACACCTTGGATGACGCTTGGGGTGGACGGCCGCACCGTGTCTATGAGAAACCGTCTGTAGGCGACGTTTTACGGCTTTTAGCTGGGGCGACGAACACACTTGAGAATCTGTCAAAGTTGGACGTCATTGGCATGGAGGTCGCTCGAGCTCCAAACCAGCAGGCTACCGATGCTGCCCTTACTTTGATGAGTCTACAGGAGATCCATGGATCGGCTATCGATGTCACCCTATTTCTGGACCAAGGAGTCCCCTTACGGCCGACTATCGATCTATATAATCTCCGGAGGCTCAGCCTTATTTCCTGCACCGGTACTGAAGGTCTTTTGACTGTACTCTCACTGCCTGCCCCCCATACAACGCTTCCGTACGTGCAAACTCGGATGCGGTTGAAGGAATTCTGTATTCGTCATGAGTTTAGGCAGCGAGGAATTAAAACAGCCTTGGAAAACTTTTTACTGTCGTTCAGAGGCCTTGAACTCCTTTCTATACTCCTTGATGGCGTGACGTGCAGGATAAATCCCATCGAGGTTCCTAATCACGAAATGTTCATGGATGTTCATGGCCCGACCTTGAAGGTTCTCGTTTGGGAAATTCGGAAGCACCAAGGCAACACTCCCGTCGACGTGGAGGACAGTATCTCTGGCGAGAGTTCTTTTCTTGAATACCTAAGCGAGACCTGCCCCAACCTCCAGGAACTCGGCCTCGTCCTAAACATGAAACTTCTCCATCGAAGAGGTCTTGCGATGCGCAGGATTGCCTCTCACACCCCGTATTCCATGCTACGACTACCGCATCTCAAAACTCTTCATTGTCGTGACATTTTCATAACGCAAGGTCGACTATCTACCCCTGGTTTCATTGTCAATGCAACCAAGTCAATCGCGACGGCATTTCTCGACTGGGGATTCCATATCCATGGTGGCGCATCGTCATTGGAACTACTGGCCGTGGGCCCGATGCATACTCGTGATCGTTGGATTCAGAACCATATCAGACAAGACTACACCCATCGTCCGGAAGCTGGTCCCATATTTTATGACGTCAGAACATACCCAGATAATTTAACGGGCGTCTCACATCTTTTGAACCCTCTCCTGAAAACTAGACAACCTAATGGAGAAATTGTGCTGGATGAGGTTGAAAACATAAGACAGCATTACAAGTATACTCGTGTCTTTGACTCATACTGGCTGCGATAGAATGCTGTGTCCTTCAAATTCAGAAATTGAGTATACCTAACATCATTTTCAGCTTGACCATCTGCTTGTTTAAGTTAACTTGAGAAATTAACTTTTCTGTTTTCTCTCTTATAAGTCACTCTCAACTGCTCTCTCAAAGTTGAAGTATTCCAACGCTGAGCTTTCATAGCCAATGTCCATTTTTTGCTTTGTTATTCTTTGACATAACTATTACATTTTTCGATAAATGTTTCACCTGTTTTGTTTCTTCAGCATACTCTTTGTTATGCAAGTTGCTTCATTGATTTAAAGAAGATTATATCCTTCTATATTTATTCGCCTCTCTTTTTTTTCTTTTTCTATCTCATTTTGTCAACTGTTTTCTCTGCCATCGCTCCTCATCATCTTCTATGCCATGTTTTGCAATCCTTCAGCTTCCCCCGTTTGTTCTCACCATTTTTACCTGCAATATGTCTGGACTGTTTACCATCTCTTCAACTCATCGTGTCATTTTTTATTTATTTACTTATTTATTTATTTCATTTTCCTGTCTTCCCTTCTCTTCTTCTTTTCTTTTTTGGACTTTCTCAGAGACAACCCCGATATCCCGTTCCCGCCCTAGTAGAACTGCCGCTTGTCTTCTCGCCCCATCATTTTCAGGTTGTTATTTCTCGATAAATTCTGTTCAATCTCTCTCTTTTGTTTACTCTCAGTTGGTCCCTTTTCCTGTGTTATTTTTCTCTTTGTAGAATTCTACACACTCAGAGTCATCGGTATTTGGAGTCGAAGGGCATCCCACCCCTGGACGCCTTTTGATGGAAATTGCTTGTTTGTGAAATCAAGACATTGGGTTTTGTTCTTGTTTTACTCAATCACTCTCTAACCTTCCGAATCTTGCTTCTTCCTCTTTCTCATTCTCTTCTCCTTCTCCTTTTTTTTTCGACTGTCAAAGTGCGAAATTTAGGTCAATGATGGAACTAACAAACCTGATGTGATATGCTCCCTTTCTCTTTCGCGTGTGTTTGGCAGTCGGTGACATATACTTCGGTGCTATATTTGATGTTTGCGCCTCCTGTTCCTCGCCAGAGGACACATGGCGCTCTCCATGTCTTCGGGAATCGAACAAGATGGGTTCTTTCGTTAAACAATCATTAGCTCCATATTTGTTCTGAAGCTAGCTCACAACACGATACTTACCCCAATATCCCCTGATTCTACTTTCCCTGTCTACGGTTTGCCATTCTTCCCGGAGCCTTTGTATCGGCGTCAATTCTTAACTCTCCCGGGTTGTTCGCTTCCAAATAGTACCTCCAGCTGACTACTTTTGTGTCTCTGTTGTAGAATAACATATTCAAACTCCTGGACAATGGTCTGTCATGTTTGTGTTCTGGAGAAGATCTGGACTTATTTGATTAATTATTGTAAGAATGTAACTATCAAGTGGTATAGAATCAAAGTAATTGTACCTGATAATCATCTTACTTTCAGAACTGTGATTAACGATTTCATCAACCCTTCAATCCTAGTCTTTCATTTGCTCTGGTTTGTTATTAGGAAGATAATAAGAACTTAAAGATAATTATTCTTCAAAAGGTAACAAGGTATGTATACTTGACAGTAATGCAATTGTTTGGGTGGTTCCACTAACCTTAAAAATAAGCTTAACATAATCACCCACTGATCACTCTCCAATTTTTAACCACTATTGTCCCTCGCCATGCCATGGATGTGAAAACTATTAAGAATGAGATCACGTTCTTATATCATCAGTTTGATCGAAAATAGATGGTTGAAGATAATTTAGCATGTTTTGATTGTTACTTTGAACTTGCATTGAAAATTACTCTTCTTATTTTGATTCAGAATGACAGTTGAGAGTTCCTATTCTTGCTGATAGAGATTTACGCAGATTGAAAGCTGTCTCTTATCTACTCTTATATATAAAGAGAAATCTAGAATTGCGCAAAAGAGCTGACTAGAGAATCACAGTTTTAAGAAGAATCAGGCTCATTTTGAAGCTTAGAGAATGAACAAAGCAGCCATGGATAACTGCAACTTGAAGTGATATCAACAGATCTTGGATCAGTAGTTATATAAAAGAAAAAGACGCCCAGGGAGTAGTTATTGATTACTTTGAATAATCATTTCTCTTACATCAATACGAAATTCCATTTAATTATGTAGATAGGAATTGAACCTTACTAGCTGTTCTTTCATCTCACTCTGCACACATCAATTAGTATTGAATTCTTTGAATCACCGACAAAATCATACTGAAGTCAGCATTAATTTCTAGCTAACTTCAGATGGTGAGTTTGTTAGTTAACTTAACTAGTTACTTGGGCGTTGCTGAGTCAGCATGCAGATGCTTCCAACTTTTCAACATTTCCATGACTGCAAAATCTTATCAACCACCTCAAACATCACAGGAGGGACACTGTGCGGGCTGTCTCTCTGCGCATGCGTAGATATTTTTCAAAGCCTGTCCACTGGGCGTTTACCCTGCGCCCATCATGGATTCGATCCTGCTGGCTAACTATCATTGGCGGAGAGGAGATATGCAGACCCAATCGACCCAGAGCCCCTGACCGACGAGGACCCATACGATGGCAGAGCACGAGCCCTGTCGTTGGTGAACTCTCATCCACCATATATGCATTGTCAACGGCACCCGGACGGGCCGCTATTGCGATCATTCGCGTCTCTGGACCGGGCTGCGTTCAGGTGTGCTCTCTCAGAATTTTCTCTACGCTGTGGTACTGTGTCATCCTGACCTTGTTCCCTCGGGTTTTCTAGATATATAAGGCGCTGTGCCCTAAAAGTCCGCTTCCGACACCTCGAGTCGCAAGCCTTCACACACTTTACGATCCTTTGCTGCGCCCTTCAATCAACACCATCCTTGACAGAGCAATGGTGTTGTACTTCCCAGCACCAAAGACTGTCACTGGGGAGGATCTCCTTGAACTTCATGTCCATGGTGGCCCTGCTGTGGTAAAAGCTGTCCTCAATGCGATTCCCCGATGCGCAAAAGTTGATTTTACGGGGAGTAACTTCCCACTGAGCATCCGATACGCAGAACCGGGAGAGTTCACCCGTCGTGCATTTCTTAATGACCGTTTATCTTTACCCCAAATCGAGGCACTCAGCAATACCCTTTCCGCGGAGACGGAGCAGCAACGTCGTTTAGCTATTCGAGGAACAAGCGATGCTCTTGCAACCAGATACGAGCGTTGGCACCAGCAACTAATTTCCGCACGCGGTGAAATGGAGGCTTTGATTGACTTCTCGGAGGATCAGCATTTCGATGAGTCTGCCGAAGAATTCGTGTTGTCTGTTACTGACGAAGTTCGAAATTTGGTTCGGCAAATTAACCTGCACGTTGAAAATGCGTCCAAGGGTGAATTGTTGCGGAACGGAATTAAGGTTGCCCTTCTTGGGGCTCCTAACGCCGGCAAAAGCTCGCTGTTGAACAGAATTGTAGGAAGAGAAGCAGCCATCGTGAGCAGTGAGGAAGGTACTACAAGGGATATCGTAGATGTTGGCGTCGACATCGGGGGATTTTTCTGCAAGTTTGGAGATATGGCCGGATTGCGACCTGATCATTCTGCCCAGGTTGGCCAGATGCCCATCGGTGCAGTGGAAAAGGAAGGGATTCGAAGGGCAAAGGCCCGCGCGTTGGAATCAGATGTCGTCATCGTGGTTCTTTCGGTAGAAGAATGCGACGGTGGGACGAGCGCGAAGCTGGTCCTTGAGCCTGAGGTTGTTGATGCCGTTCGAAGCTGTCTCACCTTGGGGAAGAACGTGATTGTGGCGGTTAATAAGGTAGACAAATGTACGACATCCACGATTACGGCTGGAACGCGGGAGGGTTTTTTCGGTCGCTTGGCAAAGGAAATTCGTTCCAAATTTCCCCACGTGGCGGAAGATCAGATAATTCTAATCTCATGCCGGGAGGCCGAGAACGAGCAATCTGAAACTCCCGACCCCGGGAATATACAAACTCTACTTGGTGGATTAATTCGCACATTTAAAAAGATTTCAACACCAGCTGAATTGGAAAATGAAGGCGATCAATTTGATCAATTATATTGGCAAGACTCTTTGGGAGTCACACATCGGCAAAGTTCTAATCTACAAAAATGTGTCCAGCACTTAAACGACTTTCTATCCCAAACCGAGCAAACTCCTGAAAATGCTGAAAACGCTGAACAAATTGAGTTGAACATCGACATCGTAACGGCGGCAGAACATCTGCGATTTGCGGCTGATTGTCTAGCGAAAATCACAGGTCGAGGTGAAAGTGGAGACGTGGAGGATGTCCTAGGGGTGGTGTTCGAAAAGTAATTTCCCCCAGCACTGCATAGTCCGCGTTTTACCGTGATAATGGCCTTGATACTGACAAAACACCCGCACCCAGATTCTGTGTTGGCAAGTGAGTGTAGATTTCAGTTTCGCTGAAACTCGATGTAAAGGAAACGGCCCGCAAACAAAACTCCGTCGTGTCGTCGTAAAGCAAGTCGAAACCATTCCGTCTCGTCCATTTGTCTTCCGTTTTGACGTTCTCCCATTCCCTCCTCGCAAGTTCGAAATCTTTTTCCTCCGTCCGTCCCACTCGTCCCCTCATGCTGTACTATGAATCATCGCATTCCTCATCGTTCACGTCATTGTAACCGCCCCTTCCCCGCATATATAATGGCATAGGCGCAGAGGATACTGCTTGGTCGTTGGGACTGTTATAGCCTCCACGTCCCATTAGAAGTTGCATTTGGATAAAAGGAAGGCAGCGAGGAGGTGCGCGGTTGGTTTGCATACAGATATTGTCTTTTCAAGGCGTGCGCCAGATGTGTAGGCAGCTATGCTTGGAGGGATACTGCTATTATTTGATATGGGCGTGGAAACCGTGAGCCGGTTTTCACGTTCTCGATGTTGGTTTAGTTGTAACCGCCGCGACCCATGTGGTATTTCTTGTTTGTTGATTAAAGGTTTCGTCGAGTGTTTTGAGTGATTTCCGGATGATAGATGGATTTATCAATCTAGGGATATTCAAAGAGATGGGATTCAACACAAAAGAATTAAAAGTTAAATGCAAAGTTTAAGAAGGATATGAATTATTTATGTCTTTTTGAATGAAAGAATTCGAAAGTGTAATTAAAATAGAATAAGTGTTTATACTGATGATGAAAAAAAAATAAAATAAAATAAAATAAAATAAAATAAGATTCGAGCAGAGAGGGAAGAAATCTTCACGTTATATATAGCGCCGTTTGTGTCTTCTGTCAACATTCCTGCCTAGATCTACGATTTGCAGAGCAGCCATACATAAACGCCATCTGGGAGCTACAGAGGAATACATCGGATACCTAGGCCCTGAGGTATGCATTTCCCTGTTCCTGTTTAATGATCCCAGTCAGCCGTCATCCGAGAGCAATGTAAAAATAAAATGTGTCATACAGTGAAAACAGCCACAAAAACGGACCCAGAAACAGCTAAACAATAAATAAATAAATAAATAAAAAGGGAAGACAAAGATTGCAAACGAAAATTGATTGGAAACTGAAAATGAACTAAAACGAAAAAGAATTTCGCGGAACAAACGAACAAGTCGCAGGGTTCCCCATTGCATGCCATACCACCCATGCAATCCCGTTCAATCAGCAGGCACACACTTACATGCATCCATACACACATACATCCGTACATAGGACAGAAACGTGAGTAGTGCACGGCGTGATTTGCAATATTTTAACTACTATGGCGTCCGTCCAAGCCACGCTTCAGACCCTCTTCTGTGGCTTGTTAGGCTCCCTTGCGCCCGCTGTGTTCCCGCCCGGTGCTGTGCTGAAAGTCGCAAACGTAGACTTGTTTTGTACACGGTGTGCCAATACTAGCTTGGACCGGGAGGATCATGACGGGCCAAGGGGAAACCGGAAACGAAACTAAGCCTTAAATTCCGAGTCATACCTTTTGATCTGTAGAGATGGGATTGGGGGTTTGGGGGGTTTGGGGGAGTGATGGGGCTTGTTTCTGCCTGGCAACTTTGGGCCAGGCACCAAAGGCTAATAAAATAAGATTTCAATAGGCTTTTTGATCTAAGATTCGTGATCAAGTCCAGTTCTGAACGGATTGATGGGTACAGCAGATTCGTATTTCTTTACGCACGCAACCTTCCCAATGCTTGAAACTAGGTTGAGAACAGTTCTATATACCGTATGCCTTGAGAGATAACAATGATGAATGAATGCATCACCGTGAAGAAAGTTGCGCTTGGGAGATTTGGGAGGACGCGATGGCTTTGATATCACGTGGCTCAGCCGCAAGTCACGAGCTGAAGGCTAAAACTAAAAATAGACAGACACAGCAATTAAGGTTCCAACTAGGCCTGATTAGGCCCTGTGCCCTAATTAGTAATATTTCGCTTTTGACTTGGGCTCGACCGCAATCTTCGGCTATCCAAAGTCCAGATTAAAATAACCTACCTGAAAGGCGCTGGATACGCTTGAATAGAATATTTTCAGACGGAATCATATTGGTGAGAGTATGGATTCCATGTCATGTATCCAGCAGGGTATCGTTTCAGCAGAACAAGCGGCGAGACTGAGAACCGAACTCGCGAGTTCTCACGAGAAGCATGACTAACTCTAGGTAACCGATCAGTTAAGGGAACTCGTTACACGGGAAGGTGATGGCGATCATATCTGTCCAGATCTACCCATTATTGAAGATTATATCGAAGGTGGGATTCTTGGGAAATAAATGCCGACGCCATTGGAAAAGTTCGGATACGAAAAAATTCGCTTTTCCGCTCGTCATAACATCCATAGACGAATGATCCACAACAACTACTACTACTAGTAGTTATAGCTGCTCCTTCTCGGGAGAATAAAGAGTAAACGCGGAAAAAAAAAAAAAAAAAAAAAAAAAAAAAAAAAAAAAGAACCTTGCCGTGGACGAATCTGCCTTGTCAAGTCCACGAATCATTCCCGAAACTGGAAATCAAGCGGGTCCTCTCGACTCAACTGACAGCCGAGCCGGAACTAGAGCGCACTACGGACGCAAGTCATGACACATCTCGGACTTAAGCAAGCAGCACGACGGCACTTGCCCACCAGTCCAGCTGTCCAGGGACAAATCCTCATATGTGACACGCCGATTGGTTTCCAATTTTATGGGCTGAAGAAACTGGAGATTTACAGATGTGGCTTGGATCCCCGTCCAGGAACAAAAATCAGGGGTTTTGATGCTGATTGAGGAACAGGTAGTATACGGCATTCAATTTAATATTTCGTTTGACAGATGAAGGAATAGTGCGTCAAAAGACAATTTTGATCGTTTGTTCTCACCTGGAGAGCCATGAGGATGGAGGAAAAAGAGGGAAACCAGACAATCAGATCTAATTCCACCCGGGCAATTGTGCATGCATTAAAAAATCTTGAGTAAATTAGTCACTGCGCATGAATTCCTGAGCAGGGCTAAATTTGTACAATTCGGTCGGGTACAGGATTTCTATATAGTTGGAAGTTCGCATTGCGCTATTAGCATCAAGAAACAAAGATAAATCAATGTAAGAGAGCGAAGCGGGTTTCAAATTTTGAAAGGAATTTTTATTCTCTTCCGCCTTTATTTATTATTTTTATTTATTTATTTATTTTTTGGATCGAAGGGACAATGAACCGTTTGTGGCGCTTCGAGACCCGAAACATCCCCCACTGTCAATAGGTCAAAACGGTTGATGAAAACAATGAACGGTTCGTCATTCTGCGCTCGCTGCAAATGCGTTATTTCCTCTTTGTTAAACAGAGGCTTATTTTGAAGCACTCTGAAAGCGCGAACGGGTTAATAGATAGTTACCTAGTTAGTTACATATATGGATTTTCTTTTTTTTTTTTTTTTTTTTTATTTATTTAAAGGAATAAGATAGAGTACATTGGAAATATTCTAGGAACATACGTAGAGAAAATTGAGCTGATCACTCCTCTAATCCAGCTCTTGTTCATTGATCCATCTTCAAAGTATACGAAGCAAATAGGAGCACAGTCTTCCCTCCAGATAGTAAACCCATCCATAATGGAAATTAAATAGATAACTAATTACCGGACAAAAACATCATGCAACCGCCCTTTTCAGATCGATCTGTATTTTCCTCGTGTTTTCCTCCAAACTGTTCCGTATGACTTTCAAAATAAAATACAAAAAAAAAAGTACTTTGGACTGTACAAACGCCTGTCACGGTTGGTACGGCAAGCTGCCTGCACTGACGCCATGCGGAACTTGTGTTATGAGTCTACGCCTGTAAGCGGAGAGCTACAATGTAGAGTTTTCCGTGAGACTGTTTCAGGTCGCAATTTCAAATGCAGCGTTGAAAGAAAGTCAAAATGAGCAATAATGAATAAAAGTTAACTCTTAGTTAATGCTTGCGCGGGACTAATACTGGAACCTTTGATTCTCCAGCCAGCATCTGGGTGGAAAACAACTTATCCATTGACCGGGTGCTTACTTATCCAACTGAGTCACTCAATTGAATCAAGCATACTTCTGGTTGAGAACACACGTCCCGAGAAGATGGAACAGCCACTGCGAAGTAGGGATCTGCAGCCATCGTTCGGGGGTATGGTTAACCCAATTGAGGAGTATCATGAGAATAGGCCATGCAATACCAGCCATTCCAGCTGGCACAAACCAGTGTGAACTTCTGGGGCATAAGCAGGATAGATGGATATTTCCGGAAAATGACCCCAACTCCCCTTATTAATACCCATATAAGTAGTTGTTGCCTAGTTTGATGACCATGGGAGCCGTGGCAAAATGATCAACATTCAATACTCCCAAAATCAATGACGTACTGTACATACATACCTAGATCTATTCGCGGTAATCATCCTTCAAGAAACGTAAATCTATATGATCAGCGTATCGCTTATCCGGCGGGGTACGGAGGAAATTTTCGAACATGGAATGATTGATATGGGTTTCTATTTTCGCCCGTTTTCCATATTTATAGCAGCAAGGAAGCGACAGCGAGATATTGCTCTTATTAGCAACAGTGAGATGGTGCATGATACACAGTAGTGCAATCAATTTGCAGAAGTGTAGTTGCGCTCCCCCTCAAAGCTACTGCAGTCTCCGAGGCTGTAGTGGGGATCAGTGGGGCCAGTTGAGCTATTCTCAAAATAGAACGCAGCCTGGATAATAAGTTCCGAATTTAACAGGGGCCTACCTGAGTTAACTACCATGCTCTCCCAACTTTGCCCCGGATTCCTCAACGCCGCTGCATTAAACACAAACTTATTGTTTAACATCACCGAAAACCAAAGAAGCACGCACCCTGATGCACTCACACAATATCTATCCATATAGCTTTGAACCATTGACGCAAAGATTCCTATCTCAAATGTGTTTACCCATTTGGAGTTGACTCGATTCCCTGGCTAGTGGCTTAGAGCCCTTAAAAACCGACGTTTGAATTCGGAGTTGAAGTCGAGACCGCTCAAGGTACCAGGTACCAATTTGGATAGTATTTCTGCCCCTAACTCGCAAGATACCGAAAGTCAATTGAACTTTGATGATAACAGCTAAATTTGGTGCCAAATTTAGGGTGCCAAAAGGGGAATCAGTGCAACTGAAAACATATATCTGGTAGTGCTTCTGTTGCCAATGCGGTAACGAGGCAGGGCTCCCTCTCCAGCCACGAGTAATTGGAATTGCTTACCCTCTCCATGAATATTTGGATGCTCGTGGGAGCCTGAGGCAATTTCAGGACATGACATGGGTACGGATGTCGGAATCCCCTCCCTCGTGTAGCGCTGTAGTATCGAAAGGTAAAAATGGTCAACAGAATGGACTGTGTCTCCCCTCGCTTTTCACCGAGGCAACACTTTCCACGTTGCTGGCAGCAACCAATGGCAGCACCCATGGACAATTCTAAACCAGACCGTAGCCTAAAGGAATGCCCGAAACATTCGTATTGCATTTGACTCTGTAGCAGTTAGTTATGTACCAGGTCGGATATCCGGAGAGTTGGATGGCCGGTCGGCCCCAGAAACACCATGTTTTTATAGAACAGTCACACGCAGTAATCGATGGCTCTAATCTGGTAATTCCAAATAATATAACTTACTGTGTCGGTTAAATTTGTGTAGCACCTGTATCACCGTAGCCGGAACACTCTTGTCTCCGATTTCATATCCACGAGCAGATTGTTTGAAGTCCCATCGCAATGAGGTAATAATCCGCAATGAGGAAGATCGCAAATGAAGGGCCTTTTTTCATACAACCAAACATTATCATCAAAATACAAATGAAGGTACCGTGTCGGGTCAATACAACGTCTAACTTATTTCGCCCAGCCAGCCAGCCAGCGCTTTGCACGTTTGAAATTTCCCCATATGTGGTTTGTATTTTGCCCTTGCCTGCGATGCGATGCTGAAATGCCGGCCCCATGGAGCTGGATATGGTGTGGCAGACGGTAGCCACCAGCAGAATGATGCATGCACTGCAAATCATAGGTCCCCGGGATAATCCCATAGGGCTGAGGGCTCAAGGCACATCTGATGTGATTCAGGGGATCTTTTGGTGGGTCCCGGAATGAGCCACGTTGGCGTGCCGCGCCGTGGGACTGGCGTGGGTGAAGAGTGACAACGGTCTACATGGGGGGCTTGTCCTCTCCAGTAACTAACTATCCTTGCAAGTAGTTAACTGGCTGAAGTGACTGGTTGGGGTTGGGCAGGTGAGGCTGCGGTGGCTGAAATAGAACTGTGCACGAATGGAATAATTGCTTGTGTGATATGTTGCGGATGGATAAAAAGGAAGAGTCAAAATAAAAATCGAGAACAACTAAGTACTCTAATGGTGCCACGAAATAGTCAACTCGTCGTCAGTTTGACTCCATCGGAGATGCTCATTGTTTTAGTTTCGGGGAGAATGGAAAGGAACACATGCGTCCAAGCATCCGGCTTTTCGGTTAAAAATGAGTCAGAAATTCTGTCTTCTTGCTGGTTAGTTGCTGGAATTCCACCAGTAACTACCCATGACCATGCGCGATACAATACCCCTGGGCATCGCTGTACTGGCCATCTTCCTCGACGCCTCATTCTGGTATTTAGATGTCGTCCCCTTTTTGACTATGATGTAACCATACAGAGTACACAGAACGCCGCCTCGGTCTGTCTGCTTTCTACTCTCATATATTAGATTGAGATTGCGGTGTTTGAGAATGAGGCTGAGGTGGACCACACAGCCACACGGACATGGTAGCATATCAGATGGATGTACCAAAATTACATAGGTGGGATCTTGAGAAGTGCCGCATATTCACCACAAGTAGCAAATAGAATGGAGTTGTAATCCAGGCTTTTGTTAAGCTGTTGCTAATAAAGTAGCGGTACCGGGCGCTCTGTGCCAATCAGGCGTTGATTACCCCCGTTGGCGTTGTTGACGCTGCCCAATATTCAAGTATTCAAGAGGGGGGTTATTCAACGTGCCATTCTGACAGAGAGCAAACAAGGCGGCTCCTCAAGTAACTTCGTCATGGTCTATAGGCTCGGTTCGTTAACCTTCGCTGTTGAATGTCTTGAAAAAAAAAAAAAAAAAACCTGCCCTTCCACTTCTATCTTCCCAACAAAAATCCAAAATAGTAACAAAATATCACTTCTGTATCCCGCCTGAATGTGATGTGTGTACGACGTTGATAAGACAAAGTCAAGCGATAACGAGGAACTCAGCGCATAATAGGAGTTTATGTTTATCTGCTCCATGGGAGTAAAAGGATGAAGGAAGATAATAAGCCGGGGGCATTCAGGTAATATAAGATATTGAGGAGCATAGTATATAATAGGCATTAACGGAATGCGCTAGGCCAGGTATTGTAAAGAAATTGGAGGAGTCGAAGCTACTTAATATTAAAATGGAAGATAAAGGGGGCTTAAAAACGGGGAGCCAAGGGGAAAAGCCAATAGAAGAGGGAAAGAGAAAATATACATAGGATGGGGAAGAAGAGAGAGAGAAGAAAAAGAAAAAGAGACAAGAAATACATTAGCAAATCAACCGTCTTTTGTGCATGTGCAACTATGCGGGTGCTATGATGAAAAAGCAACAACAACCAACAAAATAAAAAGCTCAATTCCCACCCTGGTTGAGTTTCGATCTCCTGCGAAAACGTAAGGGCGAGATATAATATGTCCCATATAAAGGGAAAGGGAAAACACAGAACAGAAATTAAATTTATGCAAAGTAGGAAACCGCCATGAGATGGGAAGTGAGAGTTATAATATAAAAGCCATGAACAAGAAAGGTCAAAACCTAGGACAAGAAACAAAGAATATGGGAGTTGGGGTGAGGCAAAAGAAAAATAAATAAAATTAAAAAATTTAAATGAAAAAATAAATAAAAAACCAACAAAACCCCTTAAACTCCATAAATACGATAACAGAAAAACCCAAGCCGCAGAACACAAAACATCTCCAAAGAGAATATTTGACGCAATTGTTATGACAACAACACCAGTTCTTCATCCTTGCTAGCAGAGTCAAGTACCGACGGCGTATCCAGCGGCTGAGCAGAATCATCCTGTCCATTCAGATTCACAGGAGAATTTATCTGTCCATCCACCGATTCGCAAGCGGGTGTAGATTCAGGTTCCGTGACAGGAGACGGAAGGCCAGTATTATCGACATCCTTGACCCCGCTGGCCGCAGGCGTTCGTCGCCTTAGCCTCCTGTTCCTTCTCGCCTCCTCCGCACTCACTCTTCGCCTGGCACGATCCACACCGTTACCCTCTAAATCATTTCTAAGCCCCTGAAGCATGCTGGCCGCACGATCTGCAATATCTTCGCCCTCAGACACTTGCGTCTCTTTAGAGGGAGATGCAGCCTCGTCAGACTGGCTGCGGAAATTTAGGAGGTCGCCGTCTTGCGTGCAGCTCGCGACATCGACATCACCACCTGCGTTGCCCTTTTCGTCGGGGTTGATGGACAATTCGGGCATTCTTTGGCCAGATGCAACTCTCACTTGATGTCGTTCTTTTAACCTCGCTCGACGGCGGCGATCGCGCTGATCTCGTGTCTGGGGTGCGGCGGCTCGGAGCTTCTCTAGTAGCGTGTCCATCGCTCCGCTGGACGAAGGGGATTGCGCATTGTCGGAAGGGTCTACGCGGCCATTGGCAACGGCGGCATTGTTTCGTTTCCGCGCTAGTGAGGCCTCCATTCGCTTACGCGTCTCCTCCAGGGAGATATTCTTTTCTTTCGAATTCTATAGAAATTTTGAGCATTAAAAGCTTGTCGCAAAATAAGGAGGTGGGGACAAAACCAAGGGATAACAAATAACAAAACATTACCTTCCACTCAACAACAAAGGCAGCGAGTTTGCTAAAGAAGTCTCTCCGGGCATTCTCATCCGAACTGTCCTCTCCATAGAAGACCATGATATCATCGTACGTCCTCGACATCTCATCAAGATATAGCTGCATCTGTTCACCTTTCCGCCTTGCATCCTTCATTGACCGTTGGACAATCTGATTAACCCTGTCTTGCGGGTGAAATTTCTTCGGATCACTCAGATTCCCCGAATCCAAACTAGCCTGGACATTCTTGATGGTATTGATATACGCCTGTGCTTCGCTGCGGAGCTGGTCAACATTGGCCTTTTGAACAGCGACAACACCACCAATCTCCTCAACGAAGCCCTCCCACTCTGGATACTGGTTTCGCACAATCCGCTCCACGAGGTCCGCGAACGTCGACTCGTTCTTGTCATCTTTAACCATAGCCAAGCGGGAAAGGGAGCTAAGCTTGAATCCAACAGCCTGCTTGTTCGCAGCGTTCATGAAATTTCCAATGTCCAAAATTAAACCGAGGACATTCATCAGTGATACTGAATCGCGGAGAGATTCACAGACACGAACGATTTCCTGTAGCTTATATGAAATGTCATCATAGTCCGACTCGAAAGTGCGGGTCAGCTGCAGAGCGCGCATCCTCGCCTTCCAATAATGATTAAGCTCAACGGCAGTCTGAAGATAAATTTGATCCTCACGAGTAAGTTCGGTGGGGTCTTGATCTCTAGCCGAAGTAGCAGCATCCGGGTTCGTCCAATCCTTTCTATACGGAGCCATAGCCTTGGCCGTATTTTCAGGAATACTACAAAGCTCCTCTTTCTGCAAGAATTCCATAACAACATTGTTATTTAAGATATCAGGATCGCAATGGATGATTTTCCGCACGACCTCATCAGCCGGTAGTTCTGAAAACTTCGCCATTGAGATCTGGAATTTGTGCATGAGCGAGCTGGGCAGGATCTGTTTCTTATCTTTCTTCTTAGACGTGCCCGTGCCTAGAATCTTCGTCTCCTTGGCCTTGAAGAGTCGCTCGACTTCATCCAGGACACCCTTCTTAGCAAGCTCGGTGTATTTCTCTTCCTTCGCTTCATGAGTGGGAGCATGCGCGGCCCAAACTGTTACTTGAGGAGCATCAACTTTGTCCCAATGCAAAGCCTTTAGCTTCTTCTTAGATTGAATAAACGGTAGCCCGATAGTGGCGGCAGGCGTAGCATCTGCCGCAGGTAGGTATCGACCTCTCCAGCCTCCGGTAGCCGCTCCAGGAGGAGGTGGTGGTGGTGGAGAACCCCCTGGGGCAGCGCCAGGAGGGGGAGGCGGAGGTGGAGGCCCACCCATGCCAGGTGGAGGGGGAGGTGGCGGCGGACTACCAACACCCGGAGGAGGTGGCGGCGGAGGTGGTCCGGCACCTGGTGGAGGGGGTGGAGGAGGGGGCGGAGCTCCAATACCAGGAGGGGGTGGAGGTGGCGGCGGTGGACCACCTGCAGCGGGAGGGGGAGGGGGAGGGGGAGGTGAGGGTGGCCCAGTCGCATCAGCCCTTTCCTTTTTCTTTGTCTTCGCAACTCCATCCACCTCCTCATCAGAATCGTCAATCTTCTCTATCTTGGAAGCAATCTCGCCCAACAACCCCGTGGCCTGTTCAGGGTTCATTCGAGGTCGTTTAATCTCGATCAGCCGTGGTAGTTCAAGGACAGCTTCCTCGTCCTCCTCCCCAACATCCGAAAGATTCTCTCCCTCATCGACACCATCCTTCTTAGTCCCCTGACTCCTTTTCCGCGACACAGCGCCAAAAGTACTATTCGTAAAGTTGCGCTTAGTCACCTCATCGAATCCACCAGAGGAACCAAAGTCGCCGTCCATCTGCTCACGCAACTCTCGTAGTCGATCAGATGGACCCCCCTGCTGCCAAACCTTACCCTCAAGTTTGAATTGGGTCTTGGTCCGCTCCAGCTGCGTCTCAAGTCTGCTCATAAGCTTTTCCCGATCAAGAATTCCATTCATCCGAGCCGGATCCCTATCTCCAAGGCCTTCTTGTCCTACCTTCTGTGCCTTGGAGGCAGCAACCTCCTGCGCATCACGAAGCATGAGATATAATTCGCGCGTCTCCAGCTCATTTCGCTGCAACTCCTGGCCTCTCAACCGCTGGATCTCAGCCAATTCAGCCCTCAGCGCTTCGTTCTGTCGTGCCTGGAGATTGATGATATCAGTTTGCTCCTCGATCTGTTTCTGGAGCTTCTTGACAAGCCCATCCGCGCCAAGCTCAATTTGTGCCTTGGCTTCGTCTCTTTCAGCAAGGGCAGCTTCAGCGATCTGTCTCGATTCAAGAGCCTCATCAAAAGCAACTCTCGCCTCTGCATCCGTATGAAGCTTATCAAGTAAACTCCGCACGCTGAACGTTAGACCCTGTCGTAGATCTAGATCCGGAAGCCGCCGATCCATAGCAACGTAGCTAAGCATCGCATCCACGAGCTGGAACATGCGCACAACATCCTCCCCGGAATTCTGTCGAATGAGCAGCATATGGTGCATTGCTGACATGAAATAATCCAGCGCACGGCCTTCCTTCATCTTCGACGTTATTGCATTCGTAATATGAACTGGGTCGTTGATATCAATAACCTCAATCTCAACGCTATCTTTCATACTACTCGTCTCCCGCTGGAGCAGATCTTCGTAGTCAATGGCTTCATTTTCCCGATACTGTTCAATCTGCTTATCGATAGCCTCATACTGAAACCCCTCCATCTTTACCAGGAGCCGCTTGATCCCGCATGCTGTAAACTGCGCCCGAATATGGCAGCGGAGGGGGAGGTCATTCTCCGGCGCATCCACGATCATATTAATCAGAAACATTGTCGCAACAGCATATTCCATCAGCAGATTTTCCATCCCAATTCCTCCGCTGCGAAACTCCTCGCTGGCACCGACCAGGCTTCCCATCTTCCCCCGTCCGTCGATAGTAACCTCGACAATACGCATCCACGCATCAAAACGGCCCGTCTCCCCCTGCAAAGTTTTGACATGGTCCATAGCCTGGAGAACCTTCTCATGCCCCTTCCCGTCCGCCCAATGGCACAGAAACGTCAAGATCTCACTGACCATTTTGCGCGTGGTTAGACGGGGCGATATTAGCGAGCTCGCGAGAGCGACGATAACTTGCTGGCGCTCCAACGCATCGTCAGCACCATATTTGTTATTCATGAGCGCCTTGAGACATTTTGCTATATCTGATTCCCGATCGAGATCCTTGTCTGGGGATGCCGAGACGACTGGAGCGGGACCAGAGGCCTTGCGTCGATTAATCTTTAAAAGAACGCTTGTTAGGGCCACAGGGCCTTGCGCTTCTACAAAAGCTTTTACCCAGCTACATTATTATATCACAATTAGCACTGCAATCAATATGGTGTGGCACAGGTTTGGGGAGGGTTTCACAGCTTACCCAATATGTTGCGTCCGCAAACTAACGCTGAGACTCTGCAATTGTTTCGCAGTAATCGTATCATCCAAGACCTTCTTCACATACCACTCCGGACTCCCTTCTTCGTCGGCTCGCGTAAGGAGACCAGCAGGGCCTTCAAAAGACCCATACGTCGACCGGGCATGCTGTCTCCGTTTCTGTTCTCCATTCCATTGCGTCAAGCGGTCCTGATGAACCAAGGTCCACTTCTTCGAGGCCGGGTACGCCAGCATCTGCCTCTTCGCCTGCTCGGGGAGATTCTGCCATCCTCTCTTAATCATAAGCTCGTAGAACAGCTGATCCACGACTTTATCATCTTTCGGTCGAGTAAAGGTTCCATCTGCGGACATGGGCAAGGTGGAGGACGGGGGTATGGGGGGTTGGTATTGCGGCTGGGAAGCGTTGGAGTGTCTGGGTCCTGATGGCGCTGCTGGTTGACCATGTCGTTCATGATTGGAATGGGATGTGTAAGGGCGTGAAGAGACATCATACAATGTTTGTGTGGAGCCTCTGGTAGCAGATGACACGGACGAATAGATGCTATTCTGATCCAGAGATGTGCGGGAATTCGTCGAGGAGTCCGGGGTGTTGTATGGCGGATAGCCGTTCCCAGGGCCACCCCACTGCTGATATTTAGGTCCCTTCTCCCCCGTCTGGCTGGCTGCCATGGTCGTGTTGGACCCAGGTGCAGGCCGAGGGCCATTTAGATGGGCCGATCCGTTCGCGGCGGTCTGGGGATTCCATGACGGGTACTGTTGATAATCGTGGCCCAGTTTATTCGGGTGATATGGGGAGGGCTCTTTGCGTAGCTGCTGCTCGGATTTTGGGAGATATTCGACAGGAATTGGGGATTTGGGGTCCGCGGACACGCTGTCATAGGGAATAGCGGTGATAACTCCGGATGTCGTTGCAGCAGGGTCAAAATCGGCAGTTTGCTCCACGGACCGTATGGATTCGGGTTTGGAATGCCTGGAGGAGCGTGAACCGGATACGGTGACGCTAGTCCCATATGCATCCAGGCCACCACCACCTTCCGCTCGATGGTCTGGGGGACGATCCTTGTGTAGTTTTCTTCCAAAAAATGACTTGCTGGCTGACGATTGTCGAGACTTATCGAAAGAGGTCTGATGAGAAGTAGGCATGGTTCGAACAGATTATGTAGGCTGTGTTAAGGAGGGGGAGGATCTGTGACATCAAGGTGAAAGTTATGCAAAGTGAAGATGCCCCTCCGTAAGTTTTAAAGAGTTCGAAGAAATGTTGCTATCGAAGGCTGTTTTCATCGATCAAGCCCAGCAGAGGCCCCTCAAAAGCTCGCCACCTTTTCAGAAGACTACCCAAATAGCTCCTCCAAAAGGAAGACAGAGAAAGGAGTGTAGATTATCGGGATGCCAACCAGGGCATGGATGAAAGGGGGAGGGTAGGTCTGTGGGCGCTAAATCGTGTCGATAGAGCAGATGGCGGACAGAAGGTATCCTCATCCGTATTCATAAGGATGTCATGAAACCAGTGTTTTTCTCTATCACTGAACGAGTGACAGAACAAAGCGAGAGAGCGAATGTTCTATCCTCCCAAAAGCCCAGGGTGACAAAAACAAGGGGTAAAGCCAAGGGCGGGAAACTAAATACAAGGCGGAATACACGTAACTAAATAAAATCCCACGCCCCAATGGTGTGGCTTGCCGTCGCCAGGAAGCGTTGACCAACGAACATCCAGTTCACCGTAGCCTCCTGTCGTTGGTTGTCGTTGGTAGTCGTTGCTGGCCGTTTGTTGCGTCTCCTCGAGGGTCTCCGATCCCCAAAAGAATGTTGACGAACGGGTTTGAGATAGCGCCAGACAAGACCAGAATCGACCAGCCCAGAAACGGCTTAGCGGGCTTGCTTCGGATGCCACGTGACGGCCATATCGGATAGTGAGATAATCCGGTTCCTGGCAGGGAAGCTTAGTAATCAGTCTTCATTCCCATCGAACCAACCAAAACCAAAGGAAGAGAGTCCATACAAACAAAGAAAAGATGATAAAAAAATATTAGTTCTGGTTCGCATTGTCCGGCGGCGCCCCCAGTCAGAGAGCGCAGAGGCATGTATATATTATATTCTACGTTTCATGCTGCCCTTCTTTGCCCTCCCACCCTCAGCAATCTTGGCCATAACGGAGGGCTGTCAGTCCCAAACAGTTGCCAGAATTCCATTCAGCTGGAAAACCTATGGGCTACTTGTTCATTATTTGTATCTCCCTCTCGTAGAGATCTTCCCTGCTCCCGACCCTTGCTGGAACCCGTATACATGATTCTACAACAATGGCAGGTCTCCTCCAAGTAGTGAAGGTCAGTTCGATCATTTCCCTCAAACAAAAAAAAAAAAAAAAAAAAAAAAAGAAAAAAAAACCAACTGACAACCACCCCAATCCGTTGGAACAGACCATCCTAATCCCCGCCCTAATCTCTCTATCCGTCTACCTCCTCCTCTCCCTCCTCATCCTCCCCTTCATCCGCCGCCACCGCCAACGCTACGCCCACTACCTCCCCCTCCACACAATCACGGCACACACCTCCACCCTTCGCGAACGGATCTCCGACGCCCTCATGCGGTCGCTGCTACCATCTTCGTGGAGGCTGAGGCATAGCTTTGGTGGAAGCCATGATGGTGACGGGGGAAGCGTGTTTGATCAGGAGGAGGGTGAGGATATGGTTGGGTTTGAGATGGATGTGGAGAGGAGGGAGGCGTTGGAGAGGAGGAGGGGTGATGTCGTGGATAGTCAGAGGAGGTTGAGCAGAGATTTGGAGGAGGGCTTTATGGATGATAGTGATGAGGGGGACGAGGGGGATGGGGAAGGGCAGCGGTGATGATAGACGGGTACGACCGGGTTAATAATAATGGCTGACTGGATGGATATCTTTTATGTCACACATGCGTCCCTTTGTTTTTTAATATTTTTCAATTCTGCGCGTTCCATTTGCGACGTACTTTGCATTTATTTACTGTTTGTATTATACCTCCTTTTCTATTACGTCGATTTATATCTGAGCGGTTTTGTGTTTTTCGGCATACCTCTCATCTTTCAAGGTGGTTAGCAGCGTTTTTTTTGGTTTTCTCCATTCTCATCAGGCCAGGGGCATATATATGATTGGAATTCATATAGTTACTTGCACCGTTCAGAATTGTTCCTTCCAATGTGAAGGAGATGAAAAGGGGGGAATGGAAAAGGAAAAACGAAAAATGACTACTAGAAGAGACCTATATCGTTCTGCTGGTCCCAAGGAAGGATTCATACTGGCATGGAAGCCTCACATTCCCCTCTATCTTCCCGTGATGTGTAAACCCCGAATTGCAGAAATATCAGCTCCAAAATTGCATCTCCAGGCATATAGATAGAGAAATTGTACCAAATTTACATCTCGTATCAAACCTGAAACTGCATGCAAACCCCTTTGTTCCTGCAAAGAAATATGAAATGGCCATTTGCTCTTTCCCAGCAAGCTATGTTGATTAATAATATATAAAGGAGGTAAGCAGCCTTCGATCTCACGTTGTGACAATGAGCACAGACAGTGATATATGTCTATCAAGATTTGAAGAAATCACCATACTTTTATCATGGTATATATCTGTGATATAACTATGATTTACATAAGAAGGAGCCGGAGATCTTGTCACAAGCTTCATTTTGATCATAATATTCCAGCAGCGGGTCAATTCCGGCATTCCTGCCTGGCTTCAGAATAATAATCTTCAATTCGATAAGATACTGCTCAGACATGTTTTATATTCTTGCTATCCACGTTCACAGAGCATGGCCCCCCTGCCAATGGCAAGGTGTGTATGCAGATGCTCACCACAGCCCCAATTGAGTTTCCATCTCCAATCCTGGCTCGGATGAGGCCACACATCTCTCATGCTCTAACCGGAATTTCTACTGAGGAAGAGTTGGTTATCATGCGCTCGGCCAGTGCATTTCAATCGGTGAAGGATCACCGGTGTTTTGAAGTTGGCTTGTCTATGATGTATCGACGCCAAAGAAACTTCAGCTGTGATAGTTAACTAGTTTAACTTAAGTTAGTTTATCTGGGACATTGATGACTAACATGAGCTTCCAGAGAGGGGAGGGGGGGGGGGGGGGGCGCGGTGGTTCCTATCATCAAACGACGGAGCTCTCGCTAACATCATGCAGTAAAACTACTCCGTCCGGGGTGGGAGAAGTTTTATTTTGTCAGAAGGGAATTCTAAGTGTGTAAGCTTAAACTGGCCGCTGTTACTGTCTCCCACGAACGGCAAAACATTAATCTTCGAGACTCATCCACGGCGAGGCCAGGGGAACTGTTCGGATGCTGTTTGACTCTCGACCCTCCGCGTCGGTTGATGGGGGGTTAGACGACGGAGCTAACCGAGTCAGGTCAGCTAGGGCTACACTAGTGCAAAGGCGGAATAGCGTCTCCCCCACTCTCCCCCTCCAGTTCTCCTCATTATGTAATCACACCCCCTCACCTCCCCGCCTTTGAGAGCTTGGACTGGGACATCGACAACATCTCACGCGGGAAAGCAATTGCAACAATGCGCAATACAATAATGGGAAGGTTTGCATTGCTAGCTGCTATTACACTGCCTACACTGCCTAGCGCTATCCTAGGCTCGGCATGCTTTTCTAGTTCCTGATCCTGGCCATAATCAGAGCATACGAACAGGGATGCAGGCTGCCATCGCGGGTGAAGCGGAGAAGCGGAGACGTGGAGAGGGTCAGTTGCAATTCCTCCCTTAACTACACACAATCCCACCCTTATAAATTGTTCGTTCCATATGATGGACAATCCCCAGACACACGGGCGGGAAAAGGAAATCCAATGCGTGTTTATGTATATAAACTGATTACAGTGGTCCCCTTCCCTCTCCATGATCAACAGCAGCCGCTCTGTTCAGCTTGATTTTAAACCTTGGAACGCCATCTCTTCCCCTCCTTTGATCTTCTTTTTTTTTTTTTTTTTTTTTCCTTTTGACTTCCACAGCAGTAAGTAACCCCGCATGGATAACCCGGTTATTCGATGAACTTGGCCCTCAATCTCTCCAGGACTGGAAAATTAAAAGAACCTGTTTCGGAGCAATGGGGGAAATCAAAATGGCAAATCATCGGCATTTGCCCGCTGTTGCAGTTGCACCGCCAGCCAGCCAGCCAGCCTGGCCTGGCTGAATTTCTTGTAGTGTAGTTAGTCTAGTTACACTACGCTGTATACTGCACACAGGGTGACGGGGGGTTGAGGTGGGGGACGAGCCAGTCCGAGGGTTCGCCCTTGTGGACTGTGAAGGGATGGATGGGGGATAATGGATGGATTGCCTGAGATGGGCGATGCGATGATCGCAAATAGCAAATAGTATAAATAGCAATAGGACGTAATAATGTAGATGTCTTAGCGGTGTTGGGCTATATAAACAAGGAAAACTCCCTGCTTGCTCTGGCTCCTCATTCCTCTCTCTCCTATCCGTTTGCAGTTATATATATACATACCTTTTCTATGCACAGCGGAATATAAATCTGCTAGCATTTTGTTTCTCTATTTATTTATAGCTATACATGCTATTTACTGCATCTCGGGTCTGCTTACCCTTACTCCGTCAATCGGAAAAGATAAATATTCAACTGCATCTCCCCCTCTCCCCAAACCCCCGCAGGATCCAGCCTGAGTAAGCGAAGTGTTTGACTCCTCACTTCATCCCAGAGGCTCACCACCAGCCAACACGAACCAACACTCTTTGCTCACTTCTTCGCCATTCTCACAGTAAAACTCACTACTAGCCAATCCCGCATCTCTACTCTTCGATTGAACACAGCATCCCATTCTTCTTCATTCAATCAGCTCTTAGCAAGCTACAATGGTATTTCTACGGTCTCTATCTCGTCATCTATGCAGCCCCGCCTCCTCCCTGTTCGCGGGCAGATCTAGAGGCGCCTCTGGCATCCCCCGCGCCGCCTCTGCTTCGCCTCAGCTTTACAATGTGTCATCACTGTTGCCCCGTCTTCTCCCTCTATCTGGAGTTAGAACACTGACTGCATCTCCTAAACTTCAGGGTAAAGTTTTGTTGGTTTTGTACGATGTAAGTTGTTGCCCTTGTCCCCCCAAAAAATGAGAAAGAAAAGGAAAAAAAAAAAAAAAAAAACCAATCGCGCACAATACATGGCATTTGTGTTCCACATACAGAGTGGAATCGTGTATCTGATGAAAATATGCATGTCATGTCATCAGTATTCATTCCTAACATCAAGTATAGGGAGGTGAACACGCGAAGCAGCAGCCCGGTCTGCTCGGGACCACTGAAGAACGAGCTGGGGCCTGCGCAAGTGGCTAGAAGACAAGGAACATACCCTCGTCACCACCTCTGATAAAGGAGGGGCCCAAGAACTCCAAAATTTTGAAAAGGAACTCGTCGAATGCGGGAGGTCCATCATTACCCGTATGTCTGACCTGACCTGACCTGGAGCTTCTCTGGGATTAGACGGTATACCCCCCATTAGTCATCGCTCTCGTATCACCCATTACATGGCATACATACATATACAGTCATATGTATATAAATCTAATAATAACCCCTTCCATCCCTCTCTCACCCTCCAGCTTCCACCCGGGCTACCTAACAGCCGATCGCCTCGCCAAAGCCAAAAACCTCAAGCTCGCCATAACCGCCGGCGTCGGTTCCGACCATGTCGACCTCAACGCCGCCAACAAGACAAACGGTGGCATCACCGTCGCCGAGGTAACAGGCTGCAACGTCGTCTCCGTCGCCGAGCATGTCGTCATGACCATCCTCGTGCTCGTGCGCAACTTCGTCCCCGCCCACGAGCAAATTGCCGCCGGTGACTGGAACGTCGCCGCCGTAGCTAAGAACGAGTATGACCTCGAGGGCAAAGTCGTTGGGACTGTGGCAATTGGACGCATTGGGGAGAGGGTGCTGAGGAGGCTGAAGCCGTTTGATTGTAAGGAGTTGCTGTATTATGACTATCAGCCGTTGAGTCCGGAGGTGGAGAAGGAGATTGGGTGTCGGAGGGTGAATTCGTTGGAGGAGATGTTGGCGCAGTGTGATGTTGTTACGATCAATTGCCCATTGCATGAGAAGACGAGGGGACTGTTTGATAAGAATCTCATCGCGAAGATGAAGAAGGGTATGTTTCCTTTCCTAGATATTCACAATAACTGCCCTCTTTTATGCGAATACTTCTAAAAACCTACCCCCCCTCCCGGTCCAGGCTCCTGGCTTGTCAACACCGCCCGCGGCGCCATCGTCGTCAAAGAAGACGTCGCCGAAGCCATCAAATCCGGCCACCTACGCGGCTACGGCGGTGACGTCTGGTTCCCCCAACCCGCACCCGAAGACCACCCGCTTCGCTATGTCCAGGGACCTTGGGGAGGCGGTAATGCGATGGTCCCGCATATGTCTGGCACGTCCATTGATGCGCAGGTTAGATATGCGGAGGGCGTGAAGAGTATTTTGGACGAGTACTTTTCTGGCCGGCAGAATTATAGGCCGCAGGATTTGATTGTGCATAAGGGAGATTATGCGACCAAGGCGTATGGGGAGAGGAATAAGATGTGAGTGAAGGGGGGAGTTAAATATATGGGGGTTATCGTAATAAGTGGGGAATGTGTTTTGCTTGGTTCCCTTTATCTAACTATCTAGCTAACTAACTAATAGTTAACTAACGTGACTAATTCCCAAGCGAGTTGCAGAAATTCAAACACTTGTTTATTTAATCCAATTAATCTTTTCAACACGCAGTAAAGTCTCCATTTCAAAATAAAAAAAATCATCAAAAATTGTATAGATAGAGAGGGAACGCTTGAACTTGTAATTACTGCTCTGAAAAAGCAAGAAATCTCTTCAATTCATGAAGCTGCACGTCTGAAATTACCTTCTCACACCGTGATGTTGAGTTTCTCAGTATCGTATTTAGCCATCTTACCCTTGGACGGGCATCCGTCTGGAAGGATCGTACATATCGTGAAGGACGTAATCTTCATGCTAGCCCTTCTTTATTCTTTCTATCCTTAACTGCTACTCGAACATCCAGGAGGCCCGCTCTTTGTGCGGCCTTCTTGTTATCCAATGACGAAACAAAAACCAACACGCCAGATATTTACCATTCATTTGGCTCTTAAGATGTTTGATTGGCAAACTTCATCTTGCTTCCCCGGGGAGGAATCCTCACAGATCTTTAGGACCGTATACCGGGAGAGTCCCTGCAATGAAGCTCATCATTGGTGTAAAAGTTATTACCGAATTTTCAGTAGGTAATCGACAACGGTAAAGGCAAATATCCGCGAAGGTATTCACAGAGAATTTTGGCGCTGGGTAAACTAGATTCCAGTGGATCCAGAACCCGTCGGCGAAGGTAAGAATCTCCCCCAGCCTGGTTTCGGACCCCAAACGAGACGAGACGTTAACCTTGTTGTTACTGTCGGTGATTGAGAATGACTGGAGTCCGATTGAGCCATCCATGCTATGTTCTGCTGCTAATAGCTGAAGGTGACCATTTGGTTCTTCAAAGGAACAGGATTGAGATATTTCTAGGACTCCGCCGACTCTCAGATTTGTTATTGATGATGCCAATGACGAATGGCCCTGTGAAAAGGCACGGTTTCACTCCAGCTCGTATTCCGCTTCTCAAAAGCTCCCAAGCTTAGTTATGCCACAATGTGGATTCGCTGACATCATGTATAGTCATGGACCGTCTACTTCAATTCTGCTAGGCAGCCAAGCAACGGTGGAATCCGCGGCTTCCCAACAGATGACCTTGGGAAACCCGTACTTCCATGAGGGAAGTGAGGCGAAGCTGCTTTTCGTGAAGCCATTGCTAAACGCTGTGATTTGCCTCTTATACTACCAGTGGGGTGGAGATAGGATAGGGATCCATATAAAGATGGACGCCCCGATTCTTCGTTCCGGACTCTCTCGAATCGAACTCATCTAAAGGATATTTTGCGCAAGATTAATCGCAGTCTTAAAAACCTTCAACGAATGGCCTCAATTCGTATCGAACATTTCCTCATCTAAACAAGACATTACCCACAGGATATGCAGTGACAGACACGGCCGCCATGTCTGCCCTGACAGACGCCTGCTCTCTCTCATCGGTGTCTTTCCCGGGCTAACGCTTCTCTTAGTGTACGTTCAAATCTCTCCCTGACACTTAATTTTTGTTCCTCTCTCACACCTCTTTGTCACGTTTCACCCTAACATCCAGCTCACGCAGTTGTGCTGGTTCCTACGCGAGTTGGAGAAAGCAGAGGAACATGGCGTCTCTAGCGTCTGGTAACGCTATCGAGGTGTGTCAACCTCCGCCAGCGTATGCGCTGCTTGCACAGGATTCTAGGATGGGTCATGAACAGCAAGAGCATATAGAAGTGCAACGGCCACCGAACACCTATCAGGGCACCACATAAACCAGGGGTTGAGAACTTAGGATGATCTTTGGTCCTTCTTTTCTTTGTGCTTCTTGTTGGCAACGTTCATCTGAAGCCCTCTGGGCATTCGTTTTATGCTTATATGGAGAACATGATACCCCGTTTGTGACTCTGTTTAAGATCGCCGCGGAAAATTTGAGACGTGAGGAGGCGTATTTCAAAAGCCATTTTGGCTCTGACTTTCAGGCAAACAAACCAGTCTATATCCGTCTTAGAACATTCTTGGGATCAAACCCCAGGCAACTCCCGATTGCTGGATAATGGCACCCTTTTGGCACACTAATTCGAGATAATCACTGGCCACGGGGGATCCTATGTAATGCAAAAGCGGGATTCGCCCTCGTTTTACCCCCGACTATCGGCGTGTTAAATAAACATATACCCTATACTACGTGGAAAAAAAAAAAAAAAAAAAAAAAAAAAAAAAAAAAAAACGGTAAGAGATAGTTTTGCCGACATTCCGGCTACTTAACTACCTGCCCACCATTGTTTGGTCAAATTCGTTTCCGCTTGCCGGCTTCCTTAAGTATCTCGGCGTCGAAAATAAGCCGATGTTACGCTGTTGACGATGACGAAGTGTCCTCACTTAACCAGACTTAGAATCTCAATGCTGTGTGCAGGTTCAAACACCATTTGAGCAAACTTTGCAAAATGTCTGCTCATCGCCGACAGATCTACTTCGACCCGGCAGCAGTGCGAATCGTTGGAAACCGAGCTTGCCAAGGGTGCGCTGAAATTCCACCAAAGCCTAGTTACCCCACTATAGCCGACCTCCTCTTCACCCGCTTAACGAACTTGCCCGCGAGTTGTGAATTGCCGGCCTTTATGGAAAATATGAAGGGGTTCGCTTAAGTCTTCCATCTTTCAAAATTCTAGGTGCATCATGGGGAGACATTTCGAGCAATAGCGACAAAAACAAATCTTCCCGTCGAAACTGCTAGCCTTTCGGAGCTTTCAAAAGCGGCCAGAGAACAATCAATTAGTTACTCTTTATGCCGCTACCGACGGGAATCATGAAAGAGCCGTTGCGTTCATGGCAAAGGTGCTACAGATATCTGCGGAAATTTACGTCCCTCGATTCCTAGATGGAGCCACCCACTAGCGAGGATATCTGGTGAAGGAGCCAAAGTAAATGCGGTTTCCGACTCATATGAACGACGCGATTCTGCTAGCCTCAAAAGCCGCTGATTCTGTGTCTGGTGGTCTTTTGATTCAAGATGCTGCTTTTGATGGCTTATGAGGACATCCCACTGTGGATCATCGAGGGATACTCGACCATGGTTTTTCGAAACCAATTCCCAGCTCTAGGAGAGAGACTTAAAGCCAACAATGGCCATCAACCCCTGTGGGTGTTGGGTCTCTCGCGCAGACCGTTGTTTCTCATTACAAGGCACCCGCTGATCAGATCTCTGTAGCAGCTGTCGAACCGGACACGGCGGCCTGCTTGCACAAAAGCCTCAAGTCAAGCAAATGTATCCCGCTGAAGACGTCGTCCACTACTCTGAAAGGATTTAGATTGCGGAACCGTTTCTTCGACTGCATGGCCCATCTTACAAGCTGGCGTTGGTGTTAGGGTGACGATTTTCCGATTTCGAGGCACACAATGCAGTCAAGGAGTTACTTGGAATCGCAGAATATAGTGACGAAGTGGACCGTGCGGTGCAGCAAGTCTAGCTGCCCTGCTGCAGTAATCCCAATTTCGACCCCTCGACCCGGATACAGTTGTCGTCCATTTCTGCACTGAAGGCACTCGGGAGTATCCAAGTACTTTCGATGTGTCTCCTGAAGACCACACTGCCCTCTCGCAGGTATTAGAAGAGATTCAGTCATCCAGCGCATCCTCTGGGATACCAACTGGGGGGACTTTTAAAAAGGGAGAAAAAAAAAAAAAAAAAAAAAAAAAAAAAAAAAAAAGAAAAAGAAAAAGAAAAAACACGCAGTGCGGGCTATATTGCAGCATGGTTGGAGCATCGAGACGTGGACAGAGACGATATTGCGACATCTATGCTTTCTGTTCTGCATTCCCAAAACCTTGGACGCCGATTCATCTGTCAGGGCTGATTGACAGGGACAGCGATTTCACAATATCTTCGCACACCTACGGCTTCAATCTAGACACAGGTAGACAGGTGTTGATTGTCAGCTAGGTAAGCTACTTCACCGATATATCAAGATACTCTACGATACGGGCGCCCGGGGAAGCCTCTGTTTATATCCCCCTGGTCCACCACCCTTTCCACTGGCGGCCCCCCCCCCCCCCCCCCCCGGCAGAGGAATACGATTGAGCTACAGGCAAGATACCCATTGAGTTCCTTGTCACCCCTTGTCTGGAGCTCCAGGTAATGTTTCAAAGCAGAGCCAGACCAATACAGTCCAAGGCAGTTGAATAGTTATTAATAAAGGCTTAAGACCATTCCCAGAGCAGTTATGTGACAGAAAATAGTGACTGGTTCTGAGAGCATTTTCTCAACGACCCTTCATGGACAGTAATTAGCAAATGTTGCCCCCCTTAACTTCCTTAAGAGTATATATTTCTCGGAAATAGATTGGGGGAACGATGCAATGCTGGTTGTTCTCGGCATACTTTCGGCGGCGACAACATCGACAAAAGGGCGGTGGAGGGGAGTAATAAAAAGCGGAGACGTTTAACTTGGGGATTGGGAAATTGTCCACCGTCCAGAACTCGAGGAGAGGGTTCTAGATTAAAGCGTTGCATTTTCGGTTGCAACAGAAGCTTTCAGAGGAATATTTATTTGCCTTGAACTTGGAAAGCAAGCACATGCGCATTCTCTCACTTTGACAGGTTATAAATACAGTGGCCATGGATATGTGGAATAAACTTTCGAAGAAGGCTCTCGACCACGCTTTTGGTTTTAACTGGGTTTAAGGAATGTCTGGCACCCATGGATCACGAACCAGGTGAAGTAGCAAGGATCAGGGGCTTTAAATTAAAGGTCTGGAGACAAGGTTCGAGGGTTTTACTGCCTGCCTGCTGCACATATCCACAAAAATGCGGATCAAAGATGAGTCTGTGCAACTCCTAGCTAATTAGTAACGGTAGCAGTGGATTGCGGGCTGCTGCTCCTAGGTATTTGGATTGTTGAGCCGTGTTCTTATGAATATTTCCTAGTACTGTGGAATTTAGCCCACCCATGAGGCTTAATAGTCTGCGAATGTTGCAATTCCAGGTGTTGCTTGATATCTACTTCCAATGGAATCAGGCTACTACAAAAAAAAAAAAAAAAAAAAAAAAAAAAAAGGGAAAAAAACCGTTAAAAGTCGTGAGATTAGCGAAAGTGTAACTCCATTCGTAAGTTTTATTTTGGTATAAAAGATCTTTCATCTTTGTGTTAGACATGTCTGTGTTGAGCAGGTCCAATCTCTACTCACATTTTTAAATGTTGCTGAACGGTTGCAACAAATTTAAGAACCCGAATTTGAAAACCGGTGCAACCGATGGAGGAACGGGTATTTGCACTGCCAGGAGAACTTCCCATGAAAACTACACATAAGGTTCTATCAGATCAGAAAAGGGGGGGGGGGGGGGGGGGGGAAGAAGAAAAAGGGAAGAAGAAAAAGAGAGCAAACCTAAAATAGTCGACCCGTTATAACTAGTTCGACACCGTGACGTAACCAGATACCTAATGTTAGGAGCCGGACCCGCGTTCTTCTGTCCCCCCGATTCTCTGGAAGGCATCAAACCACCCTGAAACCGAGTTAATTAGCCCCGGGTGCCGGGTTTTTTGGCTCTCAGCAGTCGCGGCCGCTATTTCGGGCGGGGCTTTTAGGGCTGGATCCCCCTGAGGCGCCCGGTACCCAGGCGCCCTATTTGGGTTTAGCCGGCCAACCTTAACTTCACCTCCACCCTCACCAGACTGCCCTGGTTTCACCTCGCATTGAACATTTGCCCCTGGCCAAAGGTCTTTTTTTTTTTTTTTTTAAAATTGGATTTGGGGCAATCGCTTCAGCCATCCTTTGCCCGTTGGGAATGCTCATGGCCATCTGAGGGCCTGCAATTCCGCTCTGCCGGTTTTGAGTTGCTCCCCTCCCAGCGAGATATGCATGGATTGTGCTCTTGCATGGCTTGGATGGCTTGGATGGCTTCGATGGCTTCGATGGCTTCGATGCCGTAATGTTATTTGGAATGACCGCTGTGTTAGAGAGGGTTTCTCTCCCAACCAAGGTCGATTGAGTGTGGAATTGATGGTTGTTCCCACAATGGAGTATTCCAAATATGGTACCACTTTGCCTCCCAAAGTGGGCACTGAAACAGTGGATGCTTGGCGTATAACCGACCGTTCTTTGCGGGCTATGTGGGTGCGATGATGCCCTAAGAGCTAGAAATTGGGGCATCTATATGTACAGTGGTGCCTGGGTGCAAATGAAGACACTTATACATGCTCTTTAGCAGTCATCCGTGCTCACTCCTTTGTCCCTGGTGGTGTTCCCCATCTGTATCTGTCATAAGAAGGCCACGCTCTTGTTGCTGTTAGAGCTAACGTCTGTGACAGACTGGCAACGATTCGAGGACACGGGCACGAACCGGGACTCGAAGTTTCATATTTGCCACGTCAAGTCCCTCTTTTCCTGTTCCCGACTATTCATCTTATCCCACTCGTTCTTTATTCTATACTTCATTCATTTTTCAAGTTTTCAATTTTTCCATTTTTTTTTATTTTATTTTTTATTTATTTATTTATTTATTTTTTTTTTTTTAACCATCCGTCATTGTTGCTGGATACCAGCGTGCCATTCTTTTGATTCAGTTTTTTTTTCCCAGCGATCCCAGATGGGGGATCATTAACTGACATGGATCAACCAAATCACTTTGGCAATGACATGTACCGTGACGGAAACGGGTTCAGAGGTTTTGGGAGTGACTCAGGGAGTGGCTTTGGAGATGCGATAAACCCCCTCAGCAATGGAACTGGGCATGGGAGTGAAGATGGAAATGGTGGTTTGGAGGGAAATCGTCTTGTAAACGCCTTACTTCTGAAATTTAACCTTCAAAACCGCTTTTCTGTCATCATCACAGCGTCTTTCAGTGTGGCAGCGTCGATGTTGGTGATATTAAGTATTCTGTATGACAGCTGGAAGTCGTCAAGGGAGGTCTACCGGCCGAAGATGAGGTTAGAAACCGCCCATTTCGCCCCAACCAATCTTATTACATACTCACGGCGTGAATAGGAGGCGATTCGAGATTTTCCACCACATTCTTCCAGCTCATTCTTTCCCTCTAATTTTGTCATTTGCGTCAATTTGTCAGAGTTTGGTGTTGCTGGGTGTCCAGAGCACCGCGCTCAAAGACGTGTTTGCAAAAGGGTGTTCAGCCTCCTCACAGATTACATGGACAGGTGATTAAAACTCCTTATTTCCCCCAGTGTTTAGACATGACTGACATTGATATTATGTAGTTGCGTGGGTCATAGGTTACGTTGTACTGATATTTACCTCGGAAACTGTTATTCGAATTGTTAGGCCATCTAGATTTGCGGCCAAAGGCCGATGGAACTCACGTATATGTTGGGTTCTTGTTGCTGTCATGCTTCTCTTGACATGGATACCATCCAGTGCGAACACCAAAAAGAGGGAGAGGTGCTTGGCGACCTTATTGCAATTGACGGCGCACTGGTCTGACATCGGCTTGGGGCTAACCATCAGTCTAATTGTCTGCTACATCGTGAATGGAACCACCTTGTCAATAAGGCTGTGGAGGACTGCGCAACTCGATGCTCACGATCGAATTGCCGCCAGCAGCATCGTGTATTACCTGGCCGGCACGACCATAGTTTTTGTAAGCCATACCAAACCTTTTTTTTTTTTTTGCCTTGGGTCGTTGAAGGGGTTTTGCTCCTGTGACTAATCATAAGAAGACCCTAGTACTCCCTTTCTGGGTACAAGACACGTTTTGGCGAATAGCGAACAACTCTTCGACTCTGATGGGCTCCGTGGCCTTGAATTCATTCGGTATTGTCTACGCTTTCATTTACCTTCTCTTGCGTGCGAATGGAGGGAACATGATGATCGGCCCAGGCGCCACGGCATGGATGAAGCACTCTTTGAAAAGAGTCGACTCAACAGAGCTTGCTCTAGAGGCTCAAATTACAACACCCATTGTTACGGAAGATCCCAAAAGGCCTTATTTTGAAAAGGAGGTCTATTTTTCTCTTGATAACGACGGACTCGAGGAAACAGGGCCAATGAAGGCTCAACCGATTTTGAACCAAGTCCCTGCGCCGCGACACCGTGCTAGGCATTCAAGAAAGCCGTCCAACTATTCCCTATTCCCCGCAAGAGATTCCTCCCGCCAAACAAGACGATTTATTTTGAACTTTAATACGAGTCGTGAGGATATACTAGCTCCTCCTCGACCAAGTTATGCACGCCATCGACGTTTCTCCTCTGACATCAGTGCAGCCACGGTGCAAATTGGCCTTCGACTCAGCAACATCGCAATGCCTGGGCCTATGCAACATCAAAACTCTTCAACAATGACCCTACCCTTTTCTCTCGTC